GCATGGATTTGTATAAAGAGAAAATGCTAAATAAACTCTAAACTCATTGCCAACTCTCTTTGTCTTTGTCCTTCTACCTTGTTATGAAGATGCAAACCAATCCTCTGAAAGAGCAAAGAAAGCAACTGAAACCTCGAAATCCCCACTTGCTTCATTCTATGCCTGAAAGGATCAAGGACAGAGAGACAGACGAAAGTCAATACAAACAGAATGACTAACCAAAGTAAGTTCAGTTTCATCACCTAGGCCAGACCGAAAGCGGAGGCCTACCACTAAGTTCAATCTCTATCGACAATGGTCCCAAATGCCTGTCCTCCTCCAAGAGCATAGTCTTTTAGTGCTTTCTTCTTCATTTCGAGATGCCTGAATCAGGTATCTAGTCTGATAGGTAGTTGTTAAGTTGCAAAGTAAGTCGAGTAAATTTACCTTCTTAAAACAGATATCCAAATATTATTTCTATAGAAATTGTCAAACAATATCAATTACTTTTCTTTGTCACTAACGACAAAAACACACATACGACGTACAAGAATTGGCCCAAAAGAATCCTAGTTTTCAATTTGTAGTGTATTTTATATATATATTTTTTTAGTCGAAAAGCTCTTCAGAAGTTTAGCTGTAAAATGTAAAGAAGTAAATGAGACAAATGTGGTTTTTGAGTGTCGCCATTGAAGATACTCGAGAAAGAAATCCACTTTCAATACGACAAAACTTTGTCTCCTTCCTTTGAGAAGAAAAAGAATATTCTTGCTCCCCCTGCCATTCATTGTCCCAAAAATAAAATCCTACATTTGAAATTGTATATCAACTAGATTAAATCGAACCCATTAACTTAAGACGGTGAGAAAAGTGCACTCTAGAAATAGGTACTCCTATCTTCCAACAAATAACAATTGGACAAGCATGGAAAAATTAATATGTTTTTCTGTATTTTAAATGATTACTTGGTTTATATAAATAAAAAAAGACCAGCTTGTGGCTTCATCACGATAGTTCAATTTTCCGGATGCCAGAAAGACTTATAGAGGCATTTTAACCTCTCCTAACCACTATCGTGCGATTCACCAACACCAAAAATCAAACCTAGTACGTGCCGCACGAAATTCAAGCCTATAATTCATCAACTATTGAACCACCACGTGATGATTTTAGATGATTACTTCTCAATACGGTGTTAAATTGTATTTGCAGGAATAAAAAAATCCACCATACTACCAGTGTCCCCTAATAACAAGTGGAGGAGCGAACATAAATGCGTACCAAATAGAAAATAGAGCAGCCCTTAAACAAACCAAGGGCCAGACCATCATGACCAAACAAATTCAACGACAAAAAATTAACAAGATGGGAAGGTAAAAATAGTTGTATAAATAACGTTTGAAAATTAATATAGTGTAGCATCTGGGTGGATTCGAACCGCCAACCTCCCAAAGCCCAAGCCAAGGGCTCTGAGCGCTCTACCATTTTTGAGCTTACAGATCTTTTCAAACAAGTCAAGAAATTCAGTCAACACACGAGCATACCTTGTTTAGGTGAAAAAATAAAAAATTGAAGCAACTTTGCGCAGCCATTGGTTAAACCAAATTTCAATAATATTAATGCAAACTTGTTCCGAGTCCCTCATTTGATATTTTTATCGTAGTCAAAAAAATTGTGGCAGAAGCCAAAAAAATTATTTTTCAAGTGGCATACGACGTAGAAATTCTGAAGAGGTAAAAACCCAGCACCTTAGTTCGGAAAGAAAAAGACCACAATAAAAATAAGGACTGACTTGAAATTATGGTGCTTTTGAAAAAATATAGTTTATTAATCTAAAACATCAAATGGGTGTGTTTTTTTTTTAACTGTTGCCAATGAGAATTAAAATGGAAATGTAAGATCACATTAAAATTTTATTATTTTGAGTCATTTAAAAACATAAGCTTTAACAAAAAACCAACAGTATTGTTCACTTTAATAAAAAATCACATTTTTACATTAAAAAATCAATCTTAGTACTATTTGTTTTACTCTTTATTTTATCCGTATTTTTAAAATTCAAAGTTTTCAAATCCTTCTCATTAGTTTTCATTTTAAAAAATTCACAGATAAAAGCTAGTCAAACACTAAACAATTTTAATTTACAGCTGTTTATTATCACATAACAATAGTACAATATCCCTCTCTATCGTTTAGTGTGGCTATATTATGTTCTCAATATGCTAAAAACCCTCTCCAAAAAGAGCAACTTCACAAATTTAACATACCAAAATTCTTCGCTGGCCTAAAACTTTAACATTAATAATATACTTAAAATTTAACATACCAAAATCCTTTATCTTGGCAAAAAATGTTTGAATCAAGTAATCCTCAGTAATTGTAAAATACCAAAGACTAATAAGTTGTAGAAGACAAAGGAAGCTAAACCCATTTCATTATTCACCTCAAGATCCCCAAGTAGAGATTGCAGACAGGAATTCATCATTTCTACAACCAAGCAGGTATATAATCGATACCAAGCAGGTATATAATCGATTGCAATTGAAAGGAAACATTTAGGCTTCAGGCTTCATAGATAAGAGGGAACTTGGTAGCCCACTAAGCCAACTCCTTAGGACATTTCCAACCGAAAACGGATCAACAAGCTCTCTTTGGTCCTATAGCTCTTCAAGAAATTATATTTTAATAAGCAAGACCACATTTCATCCCATCTCCAATTGAATGATCCATAAGCCAAACATGATTTATTATTTTAATTAAATTAAACTACCATATCAAAATTTTCAAACTTGGAAAGATTATTAGCAATAAGGTAAAGTAGTATACAGTGATAAAAAGTAAGTTATAAATGATGTAAGAAAAAAATTCCTCAAAAAATTAAAAAAAAAATTTGAAGAAGAATAAAAAGAGTTAAAACGGAAAACTACAAGTACTATTCACTTAAATAAAAAATCATATTTTTACACTAAAAAATCATATCTAATACTATTCACTTTATTTTTTTATTTCATCTTTACCATTAAAACTCAAAATTTAAAACTATTTTCATTAGTTTTCCTAAAAGTAAATTATACAAAGATAAATGTAGACTGAACTAAAACAAATAGGCTGAAAAAAAATAATAGACAGGACAAAGTCTCCCAAAAACCTAAAAAAAAGGGTGCAACAACAGGAGATGGGCTACAAGGACACGAACCAATCCATGTTTTTTTCTGCCCAGCCAACCTTACTTTTTTTGAGGTTTTTTTTTCCCAGCTCATTTTTTTTTGCCCAATCATTTTTTCTTTTTTGAACGATATTTTTTGCCTAATTCTTTCGTTTTTTTTACGCCAACTTCTTTTTTTAATTTCTAATTTTTTCCTACATCATTTCATACTTACCTCATTTTATTTTAATTCTTTACATTTTATACTGTCCCTTGATATACAGTGTCCCTTAACCCCCTCAACCGAAGATGATTTTTTGCAACAGGACTATAATTAACCTATAACCCTTCAATTGAACCTGACACTGTTTATTAAAATATTACTTTATTCAACAACAATAAGGCTAAAACACACTCACCCTCCTCCGATCGGAGACGGCCTTAATGCCATTGAATGGGTATACAATTTCCAAATCTTGAAAGTTGCAGCAGCCCAAGGCAATAAAATTACATAGGATCCATACAGCATCCGATCCAAGAAAACATCATAACATCGATCGCAATCAATACCCTTAATTAGTATACAAAACAGAACTTCAGTTTCAACTCACACAACCAAACGTAATGAAAATTTCCGCTCATACACCAGTGTCGTAACAAAAGCACAAGGCGATACTGGAAAAGATTGCAAGCATGAACAGCATTGTAAATATGATTCACAAAAACAACGCAGGTTAATATTATAGAACGAGTGCTCAAGCGCATGTGAGATTCGCAAGCAGAGAGTACCGACTACTGTGATGGCATATAAACGGGGCACAATCGATCATTGATGCAAGGTGAATCAAAATACCAATGCCTTACAAAATTAAAATTTATTTACCAACATTCTAGGTTAATCTGAAACATTAAACTAGACATATGGTAAAAATCCATACCCGTTTAGGTTTAGATCCACCTAGTGTAACAGATTAATTGGAGAATAACAACTGTATCTACCGTCTTATAACTCCCTACCACCTTGAAAATCAGTTTAGCGGTTTGAGAGAACAGTGCAATTTAATAATATTAGGCAGATCAAATTTATAAACTAAATTTACAAACTAAATAATACATCAACAATAAAAAATAAACACATTACTTCATATTAAGTAATAAGCCAATTATTTTTCATGTTTTATTTTACAAAACATAATATACAAATTTAATCTCTACTGTCAAAAAACCCACTAATATTTGGTTTCATCCGTTCAGAATTAAAACAAGATTAGATATCGGACCATATAAAAATGAGTAATGTCAAAAAGATTAAATTTACAAACTTAAAATCCTGATTCTGTTTACTTTAACAAATAATCATATTTTTACATTAAAAAAAATCAATATTGATACTATTCAATTTAACTTCTACTTTATTATTTTATCATCGTTAAAATTAAAAAAATTTCAAACCAATTTCATTAATTTTTCTTACAAAATAAGCACTAATATCAACGTCATCAGGTTGCATGTCATTTAAGTTCCAAAATTTATTCCCATTACTCAATAAAAATATGACTAATCCCCAAAATTAAGTTGAAGTGGTTTGAGCACGAGGCAAATTAATTGTGCACAATAAATATGGGTTTGCTGTGTAACCGGAGATATGATAGTAACATGATTAGATAGATAGATTCATATCAATTAATATGGGTTTGCTGTGTAACCGGAGATATGATAGTAACATGATTAGATAGATTCATATCAATTGAAATAGGCGTGTAGTCAGATAATACCTTTGGCGGTGAGATATGCCGTTGTCGTTGCTGTGCTGAATCCGATTTCAAATGCGTATGTGAGCAGTAGAGCAAAAACAAACAACACAACAGAGAAAGGATGGCACACCACACACCGGAGGAGAGACCCTGGGCCAAAAAATCCCCATGCTGTCTCCACTCCAAACCAAAACATGTTACTTTTTTTATTGAGATTTTTATGACCTGCCATGCAAGCGCACCTGCCATGGCAAAGGCCGGATGACAAAGATCGGTCCAGGACTCGGCTCTTCCACCGAGCCTTTCGTCCCGACATCTCATACATCCGATGCGAACCCAATTAACCCCATAAACCCCCATCTCTCAGATTCCCAATCATCAAATTACAATTGTAGCATTCACATAGCCATCGATTCGGTTTAGAGCACCTTCAGCCTTCATAAGACTCAAATTACAATTGTAGCATTCACAACGCCATCGAATCAAGCTCGGAAACATAAGGATTCAAACCTCCATAGATTGTGCAAGAGCTCCGTAGCTACATCTGATCGAAAACAAACAATCAGAATCTGTAGCTAGCGTAAGCCCTAGAGCATAAACAAATAAGAAAATCGAATCGAATGCATACAAACCTGTGAATTTGGAATCGAAGACACAGACGCAAGCCGGTTTAACCGGCTGAAGTGCAAAAGCATATCAAATCATCCTAACAATCTCAAACGACCATCAACGCGTAGATCTCGATGCGATCTACGCGAATCCGCAAGAATTAGACAGAGAGAACGATCCATGCAGAGTAGATCTGCAGAAGAAATAAGGAGGAGATGCATAGAGTCGTGAAGAGAGAGAAGATTGGTGGCGTTGAAACTTTGAATGGTTGAGAGCCAGGCACCCTAACGTACTTTTATAATGGGATAAGAGATGCGATGGACGTATGGGATTTGACTCCTCATCTTTGAGATGGACGGTTCATATGGGGCGTTGTGGTTGGTGATTCATGAGCTGGACGTTACCATCCAACCCACGTTATTTTGCCGCCTTGTGGGTGGGGACAGGTGGGCCCATGGATTTCCTTTTTGTTTGGGAATCCGATACACCGTAAAAAGGTCACTATAGCTGTTTTTTTTTTACGATAATTAGGTTTTAACCCCACAATTTCTTTATTTCAACAATCTTATCAATTATTTGACCAGAATAAGAATATATTGGGCCATCGGCTTTGGATCTGTATCCTTGTCAGATTCTCTTCGTTAGATTCTCTTTGTAAATATTTTTATTTAAAATTAAACATAAATAATACATGATAAAAATTAATTGCATAATGTATAATGAACGAATATAATTCAAGGATCTCCAAAAATCTCACCAAAATGATCCGGAGAGGATCCTGTTGGATTGGCACTTATCCCTTTGGGAATTTCAGAGCATTTAGCTTATCTCTAACAGAAGGTTGAATTCAAGAGTTTTGTTTTGTATTTTTAATTCTCAGTCTGATGATATATTTTTTTATTTAAAAGTGAGAGATCGTAAGTTTAATTCATTCGAATATCGTGGATGGCGAATTCAATACCAAATTAGGTTGCTCATTATGTGAATTTACCGAACTTCCCCTTCTCTTATTGTAAAAATATCGATGTACTAAAACAAATAAAAATTAAACTTATAATTATCACCATCAACTTTATTATTTGATAAATTTTTGTTTTTTTTTTCTGTAATAATTTTAAAATTAATTTTTGTATAATCTTATTTTATGTTTACTTACATTTTCATGTAAAAATTCACTCAATGCAGAAAAGACCTGCATGAGAACATTGAGAAGAGAGCCGCATAGAATTGTAAAGAGAGAGAGCCTGCGAGCGAGCTTCGAGGGTAGGTTGATTGAATGGTTTAAGATTGAACCATCATGTTTGAAATCGACGGTCCGTATGGGACGCGTTAATTTGCCGCTTTCGTAGGTGGAGTAGGAATCCTGTACGTGCGCGTATTAGTTATCTACTATAATTAGGTACTCCCCGCGCCAACTTTCTTAATTATATTTCTAGAATCTTGTATTTGCCATAAAAAGGCTGGTACTACTGGGCTACATTTCGAGGCCCAACATCTTTTTTCGGGTCCTTGTTCAGTTGAAATTTACCTATTTATTTGATTGAACGAGGCTGGTTTTGTATTGTTATAACTTGAAGAAAAATTGCTTCTGTTGTACTGTAAAAATAGGCTCATTTTTGTTGCTTCAAAATTTCAGTTTTTTTTCATCCAAAACTATGAAAATAAGCCTGTTTTTAAATGTTTACCAAACACCTTTTTGAGCTCAGTTTTTTTTTATACCCACTTTTTTATAAAATTATTTCAGTACCAAACTTTAAAAGATTTCAATAGATTTATAAATTCATAGATTTTTATAGAATCTAGTTAATTTATAGAAATTTCATGTAAAATTTTAATTCAATTATTTTGAAATCTCATGGAAAGAGATGAGATTTATGGATGCTTAAAATACATTACAAAATCTCTCTAATTCCCTCTACTTCCTCAACTTTTTCAAATTCTTTAAAATCAAATTATAATTAAATACACCTGAAATATTATAAACTTCTTTAAAATTCTAATAGAATACATCTGGATTTCTAAGGATTTTAATAAACTATCTTAAAATTCTAACTGAATACACAATTAAATTTTAGAGAATTACTTAAAATTCTAATTGAATACCCTTAGATTCATTAAAATAATTAAAACCTCTCAAACTCCTAATTGAATACACCCCCTAAACCTTAAAAATAGAATTGGAAAGATAGGAATTAGGTAAGCTTTGTAAGACAAGACATGAACCCATATCTAACGAGTGGTTATATAACCCACTTTTTTGTGAATTTATAATCCAATCACGTTTAGCCCACATTAAAAAAAAAAAAAAAAATTAAAGACCAAGACTCAAGTCCATTTTAATTAGTTACAACCTATCCTAACCACTCACCATACCCTATGCCCACACGCCCTATCAAATTAAACGTTAAATTAATAATCAACAGAGTTTGAATACATGCCTTAATGTAAAGGCTCAATATCTTTACACTACTGTGTTACAAGATCACTTGTTAGAATAACATTAAAAAATATTTTGTTGTAAATGGTGAGACGGATACCTATTTATTTTTCCAACTTTTGCTGGACAATATAATTTTGCATCAAAACACAAAAAACAGAACAAAACAACAGAGCAAAAAGGTAAACAGAATGCATACCCAAAAATCACCAGACCACACCAAATCATCTAACGAAAAATTCATAGCAAATCTGGATGGATTCGAACCACCAACCTCTCAAAAGCCCAGTCAAGGACCTTGAGCGCTCTACCATTTTTGAGCTTACAGATCTTCATTTCAAGCAACGAGCAGGAGGCAGAAATCGATCAACAGAGTTTTTCTGAAATTTCCAGCTTGTTCTTTTCAATAAGAAATTTACGGTACAAGCAACTACTTGTCGACTTATGTTAAGTAACTAGGGTACGTCTCTTTAAATGGGGGCAGTATTCTATCCGAATAAAAAGATAGCCCCGCAATAAGCCAACAATAACTAGTTTGAAAAAAAATATATATATATGAAGAAAGAAACTCTAGGTAATACACATTGTAGAGATATTATACATACTTCGCATCCATGAGTTGAATGCCACTAGACCGGTAGAATAGCGAACCCTCAACCAGGCTTTAAAATCTAAGGTAATTAACTTGGTGTTAATTTAAGACAAGTGACCATTTACCATAGTAGTACAAAGATGTTTAGCATTTGCATAACATGAGTTCAAACTTCGTCGGTGACTAATCTAACAAAATCTATCGTTTAACAAAAAAATAAAAAATAAAAAATAAAAAATAAAACCTAAGGTCCCTAAAATATTTAGGGCATCCCTTCTCTCGTATGATATAGAGATACAAAAATAACTTCTCCGAGGCCATAAAAAAAAAAAACAAGTGTTCTAAGCAGAGCAACTATTCCCCAGCCCAAGAGCAAACAAATTCAGCTGTTTCATTTTTACAATCAACTTATAGCAACATATGCTTCCAGCTATTTTTTGGCTTTAGTTAAAACCCCGTGCGTCATATAAGGGAAGATATCATGAACAAAGCACCACCTTCTGTAAGTAATTGTAAATAGAAACTACAGAATACAAAACATAGAACGACTACGCGGAGCTGTTTGAAAAATAACCACAATCATAACTCCTAATCATGAATCAGGCAATATCAACGAGTATTTATCAATTCTAACCAAAATTTACCCTCTAAATTCACACGTCAGTTTTTTACAAATTCTTTCAAATATAGCCGAAAATCTGATTGAATTGACCTAATACCCATAAAATTAGAACTCGTGTTATTGGGATGCTCCTTCATCTTCTTCATCTACTTCCTAATTTGGTTTCTTCCTAATTTGCAGGTAGCCTGATGGGAACTTCCTTTTGGGTTAAACAATTTTACAAAATAATATTACTTTATTATACTGTAGATACTAAGGCCTAACAACCACACTATGATTCCTTCACTAAAAATTGAAATTCAATAACGAAATAGCAATAAAAGAAAAGAAATTAGAACATAAAACTAAGGAATCCAAGCTGAATTATACCAATCAAATTGAAAAGACGAATTTTAACTCAAAAAACTACGTATACATCTTAAAAGTTAAAACACAATTGCAAGAAACTGCCGCCAATATATACGAACTCATAACTGTATGGAACCAAAAAATAATAATTTATATGGAACCGAAAAAATTATAGACGTTAATCCTCTTTTAATTACTATCCTATTAACTTAAGTATTTACCGGCGGAACATGTAGAGGCGGAGCCTCTGCAGTCTCTGTCTATTTTCATTTTGTTTAACTCAAGAATCCATCTTTGAACAAACACAGAAGATCAAACAGGTTTTCACTTTTGTAAATGGGTTTTATTTTAAGTGTATTTAGGTCTGTTCAAGCTGGTTTTCTGCTATATTTGAAAGATAACATAAAAATTGATATTTTTGAAAGTAGACTAAATTTTGGCTATAAACGATGAAAACTCTATCAACAGACCACAATTTGATCTATCATCCATGTACTATAAAAACGACACCAGTTTAACAATAATTCCTCCGCAATTCAATACAACAAACAAAACTACGGGAAAATATTCAATCTAAACTCTTTAAACAAATGAATAGAATAAATAAATGATCAATTGCAATGACTTAATTCACAAAACGTAAATTAACCGAAAACATTACTTGCCAATACTTAAAGCTTTAGAGACGGAGGAATGCGAAGCTCAACTCGTTTCATCTGTTGCCTCAAATCCTCAGAAAAGAGTTTGTCACGAAAAGAACTTCTGGATCTATCCCACAACCAAGCAGCTTGTATTTGAGCCGAAGTTCCGCTTAACTTGTAATTGTGATGAGAGGCTTCGTTCTGGCGATTCGGGCTCGTCGAGAAGTACCCTTCCAGCATCGAACCTCCCTAGAATCATCTAATAGGAATACAATACAAGGCTTGCAGCAATGGAATCCAAAACCAACATAATTACATAATATTACAAAGATCCATGAACCAACAGATCTCACAATATCTAATAACATCCGTTATCAACAAATATTAAGGCAAAGGCCAACAGATTAAATGAAAATCTCATCCTCAGCTCATAGAATTTCTACTACCATTAACATTAATAACGAGGCAATAAAAAGCAGAAGAGGGTTTGATATCATAAGAATTGACTTGTAAAAGTAAGCAGGAACGAATCGGGGTTTCGGGAATTGTTTAGTAGAATGACAGAAGTACGTTTATGAATAAGTATTATATCAAACAAAGTTTTGATTCGTGGTTGGATCTTTCGGTTGGAACTTTTTATTTGTGATTAAGTAATGTAATTTATATCTTACAATCAACAGATTAAATAAATTTGCTCCCTTTAAGGTCAATGACTGAAAACAATTTGGAATAATTTGAGGTTGATTGAACAACTCCACAGATTGTAAGCACTGTCAACAAGCATTATTAATCAATTACCAATCAATTGTGTGCGAGTGGCAGGCTTTATTTAGCATTATTAGATCGATGAAAATCAATTGAAATAGATTTAGATAGATTAATACCTTTGGCGACGAGATATCGATGCGGTCACGGTTGTCCAGAATCCACGTCCGACTGTTTGCAGTTGGGGGCGAGCAAAAATAAGAGACAAAACAATAAGAAAGGACAGAGGGCGCACACCACACACCGGAGGGGAGACCCTGGGCAAAAATAAACCCCATGCCGTCTCCCCTCCGAACCAAAAATCGTTATTTTTTTATTGAGATATTTTTTGACCTGCCATGCAAGCGCACCTGCCATGGCAAAGGCCGGATGACAAAGATCGGTCCAGCACTCGGCCCTTCCACCGAGCCTTTCGTCCCGATATCTTATACATCCATCCGAATTCAACCCATAACCCTAACTCAGATCCCACGATATAAAAGCTTCATTCTCATGAAATTACAACCATGAACCATGACCCTTTGGTTAAGATTAAACATGCTTCAGCCACCACTGGATCGAATTGGATCAGCTGCTGAAACGCCGCCGGATACTTGTAATCTCTTCCGATTTGGTTAGAACTCCGTCTGCGAAATCTGTTTGGACGCCAAAACATACATCAATCAGAATCTATAGGGTGCAGAAACACTAAAGCTAAAATTCATTGCAAATTAATAAAGTTTAAACAAAAAAGCTAAAACAATAACGATTTGATACAAAAATTCATATCCAAATTAGTAAAACGAATCCAAAACATACACGAACCTGTAAACCCGAATCGAACATCGACAAACACAGAAGCTCAAGCTGGTAAAACCAGCTGAATTCAAAAGCAGCTCAAACCATCAACTCACAATCTCATACCACCATCAACGCGTAGATCTCGACACGATCGACGCGAATCCGATGGAAATCGACATAGAAAACAATCCATGTAGCGTGAATCTGGAGAAGAACTCCAGAGGCGCATGAGGTTGCGAGAGGCGAGAGAGAATATGTGGTGGCGTGAACTTTGAATGGTTGATAAGCAGGCACCCTAACGTATTTATAAGAGGATAAATTGGATAGACAGCTGGGATTGCTTAATTATCATCGTGATCGACGGCTGGTGTTGATCCTGTGGTTCGGTAGACTTGGCGGTGGCGTAACCATACACGTACTCTGATGCGCTGGAGACAGGAGAAAGCACGCCTCATTTTATTGACCATATCAAACACGACATGTAATTGATTTGGCCGCCTCGATAGGTTGTGTGGTGGGAATTGGATTCGATTTTATACAAATATCTATTTTGTCGAGATAGGGTTCACAAATGTATCGAATTCTATTTTTATTAGAAAGATGATACAAATAAATTGTAAAAATAACATTTTTGTTTTGATTACTACAATTTTGGTTGGTTCTAGATTATTCGATATATATGGGCTGATGTTTTCTTCATTGGGCCTTAAGAGTATTAGGTGATATGGCCCAAGCCCGAAATTACAGGCTTTTGCGTACTTGTAACAGGGTCTTATGAATGATTACTTATGTAACTATGATTAATTTATTGTGTGACTTATGTACTTATCACCTGTTTCCAATGCCCCTTGTTAAAGTGTTGGTTTTTTATGTGTCTGGTGGTATTTTTCTTTACTTGTAAGTGATACTTCTTAGGTTTGATTCTCATCAAAGGTAAATTCGAACCAAAATATTATAGCTATTCCATTTTGAGGTTTACCTCACTCCCACCCATTAGCATAGATTATATTGTATGTATTAAAAAAAGGTTGTTTGTGCCATTTAGTACTGTGGTTTTGTAGTATTTCTCTTCACTTGAGAGGTTTTACGTTCGAATCTCGTGGATGGCGAATTCGATACCAACTTAGGTTACCCATTGTATGGCTTAGCCGAACTTCCTTCCTCTTAGTGTAAAAAATATTGATGTATTTATAAAATAAAAAATAAAAAAGTTGCTTGTTCGTAATTTGCTTATACTTGGTTCCCTTGGCTGTTTTTAGTACGTTGCAAGCTTTGATCGGGTTTTGTTCTTGAAGGAATTTTCACTTTCGGTTGGGTTTGTTCCTTGGGCCATAAGAAACTCTATCTGGCTTCAGGTCTCCTTCTGATTGATCGTTGAAAGGACATTAACAACTTAATCCAATCCGTCCAAATTGATGGTTCTTCTGCTCTCATAGGCATTTGAGTTTACACCACTTTTGGCATTCAACTTTTTTAGGGTTTACGCGTATCTTAAAAATGTTTGCTATTAGGTTTAACAAATCGAACCAGGATGTAAAGTTCACAATTCAATCCATGCTGGGTCGGATGCAAGTTGCTTTAAACTTTAACGAACGTTAACATTAACACACACAAATTATGAAGATAATCCGAATGAAAAATCAAGCAAAGAATGATTACTTATTAGCATTAATACTTACGTATAGCTAGGATTACCAAGAAGAATCTATAGTTCAATCACTCAAATTAAGCGTCCATGCACTCTTGATGATCAACACACATAACAAAAACTGAGACTTTGGATGCGATCTTTATAAAAAATGAAAAGGAACTATATAAACAGCCACTTATCCATGCAGTCGTTCTGTAGAGACATTAGGGCTATTGGCATTGGTTGCTTAATTAGTTTGTAGATGCATTGGCCTGGGTCTGGCATCTCCCTTTCTCCTTCTCCTTGACTTCGCTTCCCTGTGTCTTGTCATAAGCAGGGTGGTTCTCATGGATCAGCTGATCCTGCTCCGTCTTCGGAAAAGTCTGGTTGTCCGAAAACACTCCTCCGAATCCTTCTTCATCGGACCTCGTCGCGTACCCTTCCCCAAATGATTGGGACATCACATCTCTATATAAGAACATACAATAACTGATTACATTTAGCTGCTAATTATAAACAGAACTTTCATTGAACTGTCTAGCAACATAAATTGCTTACATTGTAAGACTGTCAATTTTTAAAAGGATCTTTATGAATCTAAACGCTGATTCAAGTGAAAGTTTAGGTGTGATTAAACTTGACCGTTAATAGGATAATTTTTGTTTGAATGTACATCTCAAACTACGGAAAATATATCATATATCAAACAATATGTCTGCTAGAAAGTACTTTTAGAATACAGTTAAAAACGCTTTTAAGGCACAAAAAAAACAAATATTCGTGATAATTTTTGGCAGAGAAAGTATTTGTGATTTTTTTTTATTAGAAAGTTAGTGAAAAATATTTTGTCAAGAACTACTTGATTTCTTATTATAAGTCTCGTAGTATTGCTTATAAGTTATAACATCAATTTCAACAAAATCGTTCACGAACAAAATTGTTTGAAAAAAACACATTCGAAAAAGAATCCATCCTCGAGCATGAGCATGTCAAGATAACATTACCTGCACACAAAAGCTAGAAAATTTTGATTACCACAAAGCAATGAGCAACTAACCCAGTTTTCTGATCGGGACACTCTGCCTTGTTCATGTTGTGTTTACTGTTTGGATCGCTAGAAATAGTTGTGGCCTGCCTTAATACGACTCCGGAAGCGATCCGACCCGAGTTTGACGGTGCTCCGATTTGGGTTCTGAGTGATTTTACTGCATGAATCATCTTTTGCGTTCTTACAAAATTTTTACTGCCTGCTATATATACATGAAGAAAAACTTACGACGATGAACCAGTAAATACATGCGGGTAAAAATTGTCAAGTCCCCAGGTGGCAAGTATGTCCGGTTCTACGGGACGGAGATCCTGATTTCTTTCGGAAGTTCAATTCGCCCATCACAACTAGAACTAAACGGATTGTAGTGAATAATGGTACACCGCACACTCCACTTTCTAATTACAATTTAAGTTAGGTTTTGTTTGTACCGCATTTAGCGGGTAATGTCTTGTCTAGCGAGTAATGTGATTGCTTGTTAGCGATGGTTTGATGTGGTCTCGCTTTTTAGTAATGACGTTACATGTGTCTAATTAGGTTCGTTGCGTCTGCCGTATTTGTGACGGAGCTAAACTTGCGCACTTGTGCTAATACATAATGCTTGTGGTAGCCAAATTAGGAGGATTATCTTTATGCTTGTTTGTGCGAATTATCTGTAGACCATTGAATTGGTCTAAAGAATGTACAAATGTGGGAACCCTTGTACTTGTTCCTATCTGTTAATGATATCAACATCACTATTGTAAAACTTAAGAATGCTCAAGAGTTTACGATAATTGCATACACCTTTAATGAGAGGCTGCATGTATTTATATTCATTTCAAAGTACACCAGGGAAAGCAATCCCTATTTACAAGGCTTTTCAAAATTCAAAGATTACAACAAACTGGAGAAAAGATATATATCCGAGAACCAACAAACATTTGTGGGAGTTGTAACCTAAGCTAACTCTTCATGGATAAGAGTTTAGATTGATCACAACTTCCTGAAGTCTCGGAAGTGAGAGTCACAGACTGACGTGGTCTATCATCCCCCCGCAAGCTAACAGGTGGAGGAACAACGAAAAGCTTGGAAACAAGAAGCTTGAATCTTGTTGAGGACAATCCTTTTGTGAACAGATCAGCAACCTGATCTTGAGAACAAATATAATTAACAAGTAACTAACGACGTACCACCTTCTCTCGAACATAATGATAATCAACCTCCAAGTGCTTTGTCCGGGAGTGAAAAACGGGATTAGATGTAAGAGCAATTGAGGAAATATTATCACACCAAATTGTGGGTATGTCAAGATGCAAGTACAAGTCTCGAAATAAAGCCCTGAGCCATGAAATTTCTGCAGCAGTGTAAGCAAGCTGCCTATATTCAGCTTCAGAACTGGACCGACTAACAGTCTTTTGTTTCTTCGAACTCCAGGACACGAGATTGGACCCAAAATAAATACAGAAACCACCCGTTGAATGTCGAGTATCTGGATTTCCAGCATAATCAGCATCAGAATAAGCCGTGAGATTAGTAGAACCAGGTTTATAGACAAGGCCATGATTGTATGTGGCCTTTACATACCGAAGAATCCGCTTTACTGCCTGCCAATGTGAAGTTTTGGGAGACTGCATGAACTGACATACTTGGTTTACAGCATAGGAAAGGTCTGGTCTCGTGATAGTCAAGTATTGTAGGGCACCCACAACACTCATGTACATCTCTGGATTGTTGTGTGGCTCACCATCATAGGCACTAAGTTTGTGACCACTAGGAACTGGAGTAGAAACTGGTTTTACATCCAAAAAATTTGTTCGTGTTAGCAGATCCAAGGCATACTTGGCTTGATTGAGATGCATTTGTTGACCACAATAATGAACTTCGACCCCCAAAAAATAATGTAGAGGACCTAAGTCCTTCATTGAGAATAAAGTACCCAATTTCTTGATCAACCTCGACATATGGCAAGGGCTATTTCCTGTCAACAGGATGTCATCGACATAAATCAACAAAATCAAATATACCCCACGGTGATTGAAAACAAATAAACTGTAATCACAAGTTGACCCGTGAAACCCTAATTGAAGAAGAAACTCTGAAAACCGAGTGAACCACGCTCGAGGAGCTTGTTTCAAGCCATAGATGCTTCTTTGTAATTTACACACATGATTAGGATACTGCTGATCAACAAAGCCAGTAAGTTGGCGCATATATACATCTTCCTGTAAAAAACCATGCAAAAATGCATTTTGGACATCCAGTTGTCGTATGTGCCACCTTTTGGAAACTGCTAAACTGAGAATAAGTCGAATAGTGTTGTGCTTAACCACAGGACTAAAGGTCTCTGTGTAATCAACACCAAACTGTTGATGAAATCCATTGGCAACTAACCTGGCCTTGTGCCTCTCCACCGAGCCATCTGCCTTTTTTTTTTATCTTGAACACCCATTTATTTGGCAACAGATTCATATTAGGATGATAAGGAACAAGTTTCCACGTACCACAACGTTGCAATGCATTAAACTCTTGGACCATGGCATCACGCCATGCTTTAGTCTTGACTGCTTGACTATAGCACGTGGGTTCAACAAAAGACAAATCAGTAGAAACATGCAATGCATATTTGGGATTAGGTTTGAGTATTCCTGACTGCGAACGAGTGGTCATGCGCATTGGCTCAGAGGGAGGACGTGTCTGAGTATGGGCAGTATCTGAAGATGATACGGGTGGATGGAGGTGTGGTTCAGAAACTGCTGCTTGCTCATTTAAATTAGGTGGAGTGGAGATAGGGTTAGGTGAAGACAAGGTAGGTGGCAGGTTTGTAGGTAGTGATAGGTTTGGACTTTGGGGAGGGTTGGTCAAAGGAGTAGCAGCGAGATTGGATTGAGGCAAGCTGTCTAAGGTATGGGATGAAGGCAGTGAGTTGGTGGAAGATATTAAAATAGGAAAAGTGAACAAAAGATCAGGAGATGTAACAATACCTATTGGATCAACGTTTTCCAGTGGAGATGTGAGTTCCTTAAATGGAAATGAGTCCTCATCGAATAGAACATGGCGAGACAAATAGATTCGCCTCGTGGACAAGTCCAAACATTTGTACCCTTGATGGTTCAGTGAGTACCCTAGAAACACACACGGTTTTGACTTGGGTTGAAGTTTATTTTGGGAATAAGGCACAAGCCAAGGAAAACACTTACAACCAAAGACCTTAAATGTCTCGTATTTGGGAAGTTTGCCAAATAATTTTTCATATGGTGATTGATAAGACAAAAGCCGAGTGGGCAGCCTGTTGATTAAATAAGTGGCTGTTGAACAAGCATCAGGCCAATATTTGTTGGAAATATGAGAATGAGAAAGCATGACAATTCCAGTTTCGACAATGTGGCGATGTTTTCTTTCTGCAATACCATTTTGCTCAGGATGTTTGGGGCATGAAAATCTTTGAGAAATGCCATGTTGTGCAAGAAAAGTTTGAAAAACACGACTCTTATACTCTCCTCCTTCATCACACTGAAAAATTTTAATGGACGTATTGAACATATTTTCCACTTTAGATTTGAAGGTGACAAATACTTCAAACACTTCAGATTTATGTTTAATGGGAAAGATCCAAGAGTATCTAGAATAGTCATCCACAAATAAGACATAATATTTAAAACCTTCATGGGAAACAACCGGAGAACACCAAACATCCGAATGTAAAATTTGCAAAGGAAATTGGGAAACAGACTCAGAAGCACGAAAGGGGAGTTTAGTACTCTTTCCTAATGGACATGATTGACAAAACATTGCATCAGAAGTACCATGAATTGGTACTCGCTTATTTGAAACTAAATACTTAATAATAGACGATGAAGGGTGACCAAGGCGTGAATGCCATTTTTGGGCCGAGACTCGGATGCCTACACACACTGAAATAGGGTAATTGGACTGTCCACCGCCACCAGAAAATGGGTATAAGCCATTCTCACATCTCCCGTGGAAAAGCGTCTTCTGGGTCTTGAGGTCCTTAACAAGAAAAAAAATGAGGAAATATGAGTAAATAACAATTATTATCTAGGGTAAACCTATGGGCAGAAATAATATTGGTGGATGCAGTGGGACATCTTAGAATATTTTGTAATTCAAATGAGCAAGACGGAGTTTGAATTGTATTTGAACCAAGATGAAAGATAGAGAGACCAGTATCGTTACCTACACCACCAACATTTTCATTACCATGATACTCTTTTGGATTGACCAAATTTTGAAGATCTGGAGTGACATGTGCATTAGCACCGGTGTCAAGCAACCACTGTCCATTAGATTGCTTGTTGATGGTGACGGGTGATGTTGCCATAGCAGTAAGTCACTTAGCTGGAATGCGCCCTTCATATGCGACATTCATCCGTTGATAACAATCCAGGGCAGGATGCCCTTGTTTTCCACATATCTGACAAGTGAGTCTTTCACCTGTAGCCGTGAACTTCTCACCATTGCAAGCCGAGTTTAGCCGTTGAGTATTACTGCGAGGAAAGAAACCTCACTGGTTGGCAGCACCACCACCACGTGCAGACGGAGACACACCACGTCCATTACCTCGAAATCGTCCACCACGACCTCGAGTAGTCACAAATGCATTCACAGGAGCAACCTCCACAGTATGAGCAGTTTGCTCAGCCATCCTTCTCTCCGTTGTCAGTAAGAGAGCCTCAAGTGTAGGGTACGTGATTGGAGTGTCACGTGCCTGTGCAGCACTCACAGTCATTTCATAAGCAGGACCCATATTGTTCAGGATAATCTGGACAAGCTCATCATCATTCACTGGTTGCCCAGCAAGGGCAAGGTTGTCAGAAATCGAGTTCATGCGATCAAGATAGTCTGCAATAGCCATATCTCCTTTTTTGGTTTGCATTAGTTCATTCCGAAGGAACAAGATACGATTTTGGGACGAGGAAACATACCTTTGCTCGAGAGCCTCCCAGGTATCACGAGAGCATCTCTTGCTTGCCACAACCGATAGCACAGATGGCGTGAGGGAGCCATTTATCCAACTCAATATCATTTGATCATGATGAACCCAGGTTGTGTATGCAGGATTGATATCAGCGGCACCAGGAAGCTGTTTGGGAGGACATGCAATGGACCCATCCACATAACCCATCAAGTCACGACTCCTGAGAATGGGGAGAATCTGAGCCAACCATAGAGGATAGTTGGTTCGATCCAGTTTGATATTGACAACTGTCGTCATGGACGAGAAGGAGTTCATAGCAGGTAATGCTGGGTTGGGATTGGAGATGTTTGTGGTTGCAGCACCGTTGGAACTATCAGCCATTGGAAAAAAAAAAATTGGATCTGTGTCGTTGGACTTGCTAAGGCTCGTATACCATGTAAAACTTAAGAATGCTCAAGAGTTTACGATAATTGCATACACCTTTAATGAGAGGCTGCATGTATTTATATTCATTTCAAAGTACACCAGGGAAAGCAATCCCTATTTACAAGGCTTTTCAAAATTCAAAGATTACAACAAACTGGAGAAAAGATATATATCCGAGAACCAACAAACATTTGTGGGAGTTGTAACCTAAGCTAACTCTTCATGGATAAGAGTTTAGATTGATCACAACTTCCTGAAGTCTCGGAAGTGAGAGTCACAGACTGACGTGGTCTATCAACTATTTGTAAAAGAAATAAAGTATACAACATAATTAATATGTCTCGTGTTACACTACATGTGTTGTACCACTTTACTTTCTTTATGTATTAAAAAATCTCTCATTGTGTTGTAACCGTTCACTTGATCGTGAACTAGATTAATATGTCTCGTGTTACACTACACTACACGTGTCACTAGTACAAAAACATGTTTGCGCGACGAAAATTTGCGCGACGCAGCTAAATTCGTCGCGCAAAGTATGTTTGCGTGACGCTAAACAAAAAACGTCGCGCAAATGACGTTTGCGCGACTGCACTTTGCGCGACGAAGATTGGCGTCGCGCAAACATACTTTGCGCGACGCAAGGGTACCTACGTCGCGCAAAACGGTATTGCGCGACGCCAATCTTCGTCGCGCAAAGTGCAGTCGCGCAAACGCCATTTGCGCGACGTTTTCTGTTGACTTTGCGTGACGCAGGGCTACATGAGTCGCGCAAAACATCTTTGCGTGACGTATGTGGCGTCACGCAAAATTTTGGCGCTAAACCAAGTAAGGTTTACCGCTTTTTCTGTTGACTTTGCGCGACGTACGTACACATGCGTCGCGCAAAACATCTTTGCGCGACGCATGTGTACGTACGTCGCGCAAAACATCTTTGCGTGACGCATATGGCGTCACGCAAAACATCTTTGCGCGACGTACGTACACATGCGTCGCGCAAAGATGTTTTGCGCGACGCCATATGCGTCACGCAAAGTCGACGACTTTTTTTCCCTTTGCTTAATCAGTTTGGGTGGTAGAAACTGCAAACTAGTTGCAGAAACTACCTCCCTCCCCCATCTCTGTTCTAAACATCCCCCATCTCTGTTCTAAACGTTCTCCAATTCTCTCCGTTCCTTAATCTATTTGTATCCGGTAAGCAATTTGATTTTGTATATGCAACTTTTAATTGAGAATTCAAACTAAAAGTACTAAACTTATTTTGTACAGGATTTTTGTATACAATTATCATTGAAGAACGAATTTGAAGGTATTTTTTTCATATTGCATATGGGATTTTTGTATATGTACCTTTGCTTACTTGGTATGCCCTTTTTTGGTAATGGTGGAGTTTTGTGAGATTGAATTTTGAAGTAATCTTTATTAATTTTACCTATTAAAAGGAGTGAGATTGTAGATATATTGTGGCTTGTCATGGATTGCGGACGTGCATGGATCAATAGTTATGATGTTAAGAATGCGGAGTTTTATAATTGTCATCTATATAAGCCTGATATTCCTTCTTTATATGAAACACTTGGCGTGAGTGTGATTCCTTTTCCATTTAAATGAGCATATTCTTGTAAGAGAATGGTGGACTTGTTTGTTGCACATAAAAGACAAAGGAGGGGAAGCTGGACAATGTCAATGTCTTTGTCCTGATCTGGAAAAGTCTGTTATTTAACTAATTCCTTGAACTCCTGTTGCAATTAGAATCTAATTGAATCCTGAGTACAATGTGATTAGTTGTCTTTTTCTTCCTTTTCGTTTCACTCTAAGTCCCGATGGAGAAGTCTTGAATCAAGTATTTGAAAATTCCAATGACAAGAATAGGGGACCACTTTTTCACTAGATTAGTTGCCCTTTAAGCTGATAATCAAGTTGAAATATACTAATTAATAATTGACATAGTACTAATTCAGGACTAATTAATCTCAAATATTCGTTTTAACGAAGGATGATTGGACCATTTTGAGCTAGGACATTTGAAAGCATCAGAATTCTACAATTATTGATTAGTTTTATGCTTATGTTGATTATATGTGCTCCGAAAATTATTTTGTATATGATTTTAAGAAGTGTTTCCTAAATTGTATTGTATTGGTTTTCAAATTTGAAGTGTGCCACCAACCTTATTGGACTCAAAATACTATGTTATTCCAGCTCGGATTTTGCTCATTTGACGAGTTTGGTTAGTGAGTACTGAGTAGTGACTAAGTTGGATTTTCCCACTATGTGCTTTGTTTTGCAGTTGGTCCCAGCTCTTGGAAAGCCTTCCTCTTCCTAATGTAAGGATGGTAACTTTAAGTTTCATTGTACCATTATGCAACATTCATCACCGGCCTTAAACCTTCTATTATTATAGAATATGCTGCCAAGTTTGGTTAATAGAATTTATTATCTGTATTTGTTGAACTTATTATACAGATTAAGTGGATTTGCCCTACTGCTCCTTCTCGACCTGTAGCTTTATTTGGCGGATTCCCTTGCACTGCTTGTAAGATTGTTTTAGTTTCCGTATTTATCTTTTTTTTTTTTTGAAAACCACCATCAAGTCCAGGTTGGCTTTGAGCTTTATCACATGGAATGATTGCCTAAAATATATGTAACGCATAGTCTAAAGTGTTCAAGTGATTTATTACAAGGTGTAACGCAATCCATGACAAGCCATAATTTGATCATGCACGTCCCCTTGAAATTTCCTTAATTTGTGCTATATGGTTGAATTGAGGGTAAATGCAATGTGTTGCAACTAAGAATTATATAGAAAACCTACAAAAGCCATGATCTTCAAAGCTAATCTTATCATCACTATTAAATTCTCAATGCTAAGACAATAGGTTTTAGTTCAATAATGAGCGGGTTGATTTTTGTGAGCATATGCCATACTTATGTAGATAAACAATGGCTATGATTCTCTTATTAAATCCTTGTAGAAACTCAATATCATCTTCCAATTGTAATACAAGTAAGTAATTTAGGATTCATTTTTAGTCTCAATCCTTTGTAAACTTGAAGACAACCAAAACATCTTTCAATAAGATTTTTTAAAACCAATATCTAGCCAAAATACACTTACACTTGTGTTCATATTCTAACAATACATTTATCTCACCACCAAAATTACTCGAGTGTAACTAACTAGAATATGTATATTCTATGATATAATTAGTATAAACAAATAAAAACTAAGGCCATCAACATTATAGTTTACAAGGATTAATATTTTGTATCTATTTTATTTAGTTTCACTAATTATTGTGATTTAATTTATTTGTATGCACATATATTTGTACATCATTTACAAAATTGTTTTGTGTTGTACGAAGTTAATACAACTTAACTTCGTACACTTTTTTTTTTTTCAAGAAAAGCTTAGTTTCCCGTTTATGAGTTAGTTGGATTTTGTGCATGGATGCAAAAGCATGCTTGCGGTCCAATTAATTATTGAATTGTCCCATTTTTTGGACAGTTTGGGAATGCATAGTTATGTGTTGTAGTTTGCGGTTCATAGATTAGGTTTCGATAGTGGAAATTTTGGTAACATTTCCTAATGTTCTTCGAGTACACAGTAGATATTATGTATCTACTGCGTGCACTTGAAGAATTGTAAGGAGATGCTGTCGAAATTTGCCCATGTCGAAATTTAATCCATTGGAATCGTAAATTACGGCACATAACTGTGTATTTTTGAATGGGATAGGCCCTTACCGGAGGAATAAGGTGAGAAGACAATAGTTGAAGTTGTTGTACTTTTATTGGGATTGCAGGCAAAATGGACAAACAGTGGATACAGAATCATAATAGATGTGCTATCGAGTACTTGGATGGAATAAATGATTTCATTGAATTCGCAACTAGACACAAGCGAGGTTCAACTCATATTCGATGTCCCTGTAGGAAGTGTAACAACTTAATGAGGGAAACATTCGAAAATGTTCGATTTCATTTAGTAAGAAATGGGATGATGGAGACCTATACTACTTGGTATCATCATGGAGAACGATTAGACCAAGCTTCGTCTTCATACATGACACGAGTGGAGACTGTTGAATGTAATGTGGATCCTAATGAACAAGTTATGGATATTCTCAATGATGTTTATCCATATGCTACAACCAACACCAATCAGGAAGGGGGAGATGACGGTCGTCCAACCATGGATAGTGAGGCATTCAAAAACTATGAAAAACTATTGAAAAATGCCAAGCAAGAATTATATCCGGGGTGTGAAAACTTTTCGATGCTCACAGCAATTGTGGAGTTGATGCATGGCAAGATCAAGTTTCGTTTGTCAAACAAGTGTTTCGATTACTTTTTAGGAGTTATCAAGAGGATGCTTCCAAAGGACAATTGTTTACCTGAAGATCATAAAAGTGCCCAAAAAGTGTTGAAGGGTCTTGGATTGGGGTATGAAAAAATTCATGCATGTGTAAATAATTGTATATTGTTCTATAAGGAGAACACACAGTTGGATAAATGCCCTGTATGCAATGAGCCAAGGTTTAAAATGACATCACAAAATAGAAAGACCAAGATTCCACAAAAAGTAATGCGTTATCTTCCATTGAAGCCTAGGTTGCAACGATTGTACATGTCGATGCACACCGCTACCGATATGAGATGGCATAAAGAAGGACGAGTAAATGACGATGTTATGAGGCATCCTGCAGATGGAGAAGCATGGAAAGAATTCGATCGAATGTACCCTGATTTTGCAGCTGACCCGCGAAACATCAGATTGGGACTTGCCACCGACGGATTTAATCCGTTTGGGGTTCTAAACCAAATCCACAGCACTTGGCCGGTCGTCGTGTTTCCTTATAATCTGCCGCCTTGGAAGTGCATGAAAAAAGAATACATGATGTTGACTCTATTAATTAGTGAAGATCCAGGAAAGTCCATTGATGTTTATTTGCGGCCGTTGGTAGATGAGCTAAAAGATTTATGGGAAAACGGTGTTCGTACATATGATAAGTATACTGGGCAAATGTTCACCATGAGAGCAGCAGTGATGTGGACAGTAAACGATTTTCCCGCGTATGCAATGGTTTCTGGGTGGATGACTAAGGGTTATTTGGCATGTCCAATATGCAAGGAGAACGTAACATCGTCTTGGCATGCGAGAAAAGTTTGTTATCTTGGTCATCGTAGATGGCTCCCTTGGGACAACGAGTGGCGTCAGAACGATAAAGCCTTCCATGGCACAAAAGAGACTCGACCAAGACCAAGAGAATGGTCTGGAGATGAGATTTTGGATCAATTAAACCGTTTGGAATTTGGTCATTTTGGCAAAGGAGTCAGTAAGCCCAGACCAACTACACATCTGAACTGGACACACAAGAGTATGTTATTTGAGCTCCCATACTGGTCAAAGTTAAAATTGAGACACAACCTCGATGTTATGCATATTGAGAAAAATGTGTTTGATACTTTGGTCGGGACAATTCTAGACATTGAAGGAAAAACGAAAGACACGGTCGAAGCTCGCCTTGATTTGGAACGAATGGGCATTAGGCCATCCTTGTGGATGAAGAAAGTTGGTGGTACATTGAAGAAAGGCCATCCTTTTTTTACAGTTAATCCGAATGGGAAGAAAGAGTTTTTCAACTTTGTTTCTTCTGTAAAGTTTCCAGATGGGTATGCTTCCAATATCTCACGTTGCGTGAACGTGAGAGGGTGTAAATTTTCAAACATGAAGAGTCATGATTGTCATGTGATACTCCAACGCCTTCTACCGGTTGGTATTCGACACTTATTGCCTCTTGATGTGGTGAAACCAATCGTGTTGTTGTCTAGATTTTTTTCACAATTGACTGCAAGGTGTTTGCGGAAGTCGGATGTTAAACAATTGCAGGACGACATTGTGAACGTCTTATGCAAGTTCGAACAGATATTTCCTCCAGCTTTCTTTACAAGTATGATTCACGTGATGATTCACTTGCCAGATGAGGCATTGCTTGCTGGACCAGTCAATTGCCGATGGATGTATCCAATAGAAAGGTACTTAATTAAGCGTATATATATATAACAGATTAATGATCAACGAACGCTTTGAATAATTTGTAGCATACCTTTTATTTGTGTAGATATCTTGGTGAGTTGAAAAAGTGTGTCCGAAATAGGGCAAAGCCCGAAGGATCACTTGTGGAGGCATGGGTCGCATATGAGTCACTTACTTTTTGTGCAATGTATCTTCAAGATGTTGAGACAGCTTTCAATCGTCCTCAACGCAATAATGACGGTGGTGTCAGAAAAGAGAAACTATATGTTTTTGCCCAAATTGCGCGACCATTTGGCGAGCCTGTAAAAGGCGAATCGTTTACCAAAAAAGACATGGAGGTAGCGCATTGGTTCATACTCAACAATTGTGATGAGGTTTTGCCATACCTTGAAGAGCATGAACGGTTGATGAAGCGGGAACATCCTTCACATTTATATGCCAAGAAGCACCGTGAATTGTTTCCTTCGTGGTTTCACGAACATGTAAGTTGTATGTGTTTTGAATTCAGCATATTTTCCAACTTGTTCATGCCCGTCTTCAAATTTGGTTACACTAACAAGTTAACTTTTTGTATATGTTATATTAGATGAACAAATTGAAGGAATTGAATTCACCCGCTTACGATGAAGAATTATATAACTTGGCAAGAGGACCGCTTCACGTTGAATTGTTCTCAGGTTGTCATGTCAACGGGATCAAGTTCTTGGGGGCAACACGTGATGACAAGTCGTCTACTCAAAATAGTGGTGTCCACGTCCCGGGTGCGGGCGACAGTGAAGACATTGATTTTTATGGTAAACTAACTAGTGTAGTACAATTGCTTTACAAAGACAGGTGTCAAGTGATACTATTTAAGTGTCTTTGGTTTGATACAAACCCACATAACCGAACGAGTGTTAAGCGAGACCATGGTTTACTATCAGTAAACACTACCAGACGTTGGTACGATGAAGACCCATACATTTTGGCAACTATGGCGAAACAAATATTCTATCTAGACGACCCTAAAGCCGGCAATGGTTGGAAAGTTGTTCAGAAGATTGATCGAAGAGGGCTATATGATATTCCAGAACTAAATCAAGATGACAACGACGACAACATCGCTGACCAACAGTTATCATCTTTGATAAATATTGGTGAAGAAACACTCCGAGATACTAATGTTGTCCAAGAACCGTTTGAAGTAGCTGGAGTTCCCGAATTCGAAATACCAATAGAGTCAATTTCAATTGACCTTGGTGATCTGCCACGATACAATGCACCGGAAGAGGCAAATGAAGATGAGGATGAATGGAAATCCGAAAATGATAGTAGTGAGGATAGCGAGAGTTATTATTGTAGTTCAGATGAGGATTAATATAAACTTGTAAAGGAAAAACCAGGAGATTGAGGAGAGGCAAAGTCAAACTAAAAAAAAAGCACGGGAAGAATCTGATCGTGATCGTTTGAAGGTATTCTCCATTTTTACTTCGATTTGTTTCATGCAGTTTTGATAGGCAACTTATCTAAAAGTTAAGCTATATAAATAAAATACAATGTTGATAGTTTGTAATTATTTTTTACCAGTCTGAACAACGAAGTAGAAGTTATTTACACTTATTATAGGTTATATTTATGCAAATATGCTAGTATTCATGCTTCTTCGGTTTTGAAGCTGCATTTTGTTTTAGCATGTAATCATTTGCTTTTATTATGAATTGACCTGTTCATTTTGGATTCACTTCATTTGGATCAGGTGTATATGTCCACATAGGCTAAATTATTCAGAGTTCTATGTATTTACTTATGTTTGTTCACAAATGGTTACTTTTAAAGATATTTGTCCTGGAAACTGATTGGCATTCGGTTACTTACAGGTTAAAAAGGCCTTAAAGGGGGTGAAGGTAGCACTTTCTTATCCTGATGTGAGTCTTATAATCTTTACATTACGTTTATACTTATATCTTGTTTATATGTATATACGTTCCATAAGTATATGTACAATTTTAACAAATTCAGCATTCTCACTACCGTGGCTATATACAATCACAGTTTGTAATGTTATGTCGCATCCTCCAAATGTCATTTTTGGTGGAGATGCACGAAAACTAGTTTATTTGATTTTAGAAGTGGACTTGTTTATGTTCTTTATTTGTTAATTTAAGACAGTGTATCAGTATCTCTCTCCTGTAGTAACATCTTGTAAACGCAGCTCACAAAAATTAAATTCCAAGCCAGATAGTCTCACAATGATCCACAAAATCTGCTTTTGGGACAAGATCTCATGTGTTTTTCATCGCTTCGGTCATGTTTGATAAATCCATTTTGCGTTTTGATATTGAACAGATCTTCAATGATGCAATTGAAGCTTTACGGGTTTCCTATAAGAAGATGAACCCTTTCTGTGTACCTTTCGCAACCACAAATATGGGTTCTGCCATGCTAGCAATGGATCTGGTGAGATTAATATATATATATATATATATGTATGTATGTATGTATGCATGCATATGTATATATATATGTATGTATGTATATCTATATATATCTATGTATCTATGTGTATCTATATGTATATATGTGTATATATATATATGTATCTATGTATATATATATATGTATATATATGTATATGTGTGTGTGTGTGTATATATACATATTTGATGCATACTCTTACAGTTTGTGATGACCGCTGAGATTTTGTACTTGTCCATTTAACTGATAGTTACTCTTACACTTGCAGGGTTGGATGGGCCCAAATTATTCAATTTCTACTGCTTGTGCTACAAGCAATTTCTGTATTTTGAATTCGGCTAATCATATCATTAGAGGTGAAGCAGTAAGTATTCTGCTAATCATATTAAGTGGTAGAGTTTAGATGCAAAATATTTTCCTACAACGTGAGGTAATTTAGTGGTAGTTTAGATGCAAAATTGAAAGTAATGGTATGCTGATGAACGAAATCTTGTTTTTACCTACTAGTTGTTTTTAACGAAATCTTGTTTTTGGTTATTGGACAGAATCGTGATGGTTTTGTTATGGGGGAAGGAGCTGGCGCTTTGCTTCTAGAAGATTTCGAACATGCTAAGGTATTTTCTAAATCTTTGACCTTGGCAATGGCACTTGGGTGTGTGTGTGGATATCCTTTTTTCTTCTTTCTGTGTAGGATCACATCATCTGTAACTGTAAGGTTGTAGGTGCAAAGTCTGTAGGGACATTCTGTATCCTGTGGTTCCCTCAAGTTAATCCGTATCATGCTTTCTGTTACGTTTCTTGAACTTGCTGCTACCCCTATAGTCTCACAAACACATTTTCTAATCATTCATTTCTATCTTACAGAAAAGAGGATTTAATTCATCGATTTTTTTTTTATTGCAGAAAAGAGGTGCAACTATTTATGCAGAATTCCTTGGTGGAAGCTTCACATGTGATGCTTAGCACATGACCGAGCCACACGCAGATGGTAATATGCGTTATCTTTGGAAATCTCACTCCTACGCTTCTCACATTCTTTTGTTGAGCTGTGGAACCAAGAAGTTTTTGGCAACTTGTTTCTGTTGATCTAGTAGAGGTTCATTATGAAAGAACATTATGTGGAAATATTTGTATGACTAATGTCGTTATAGCATGCTTTTTGTGTGAATAATTTTATTCGCCTTGCACTTTGTTTCAATGAATTACATCAAGTTGTGGAATTTGAATTACTTGATTAATGTCCTTGGAAACAGGGGCTGGGGTTATTCTCTGCATTGAAAAGGATTTAGAACAGTCTGGAGTGCCTAGGGAAGATGTTAATTACATTAATGCACAAAGACCAATGTATTATCTTATGTAATTTGAAACGGAGTACAAGTCCCTTATATATTATTGTACCCTTGTAGTTTAGGTTTTCTTGACTGGTATTGCTGTAACGGAAAATGATTGTTCCGTTTTCATCTATGCCTTTGAAACTAGTTAAGAAGTCCGTCAAAAAAGAGAGGGAAAAGACCCAGGTTGGATCGGTGCAAATGGCCAGTTGGTTTGTTGGACATGTGGAATGTCGGAGTGAAGGAGGAGGTAATCATTTGACCGAGTAAATTATGTTTACTTGCTATGAATTCAGTGGATATACTCTGTTCGAGTTTGAGTCTTAATTCATGTTATTGTGAAGGAGGTTTCAAGGAGTCAAATCCCTTCCATGACCAAGATGAAGTTAGTAGCCATTTATCTTGTGCTTTGATTTTCTTGGCTTGTATTGCTACTATGGAATACAATTGTTTCTCTTTCGCTTATGCTTTTGATACATGTTCAGGTGGCTTTGGAGGTGAGAACAATGTCGACATCGTCTTCGTTTGGATGCTTGTCATTTGAGGAACACAAAGCCAGATTGGATACCAGTGAGAATTTCACTGCACCAATTAGGTTTACTTCCTAGGCACTCGGTGTATATACTCTCTTCTAATTTCAGCCCCATGCAGGTGACTGTGGAGAAGGCTGCAGGGAGTGACATGCCTGACATTGACATGAAGAAGTTAGTTGCGAAATCCTTTTTGCTTTAATTATCTCAGTTTTTATTGCTACCATGGAATAGTGTTGTTCTCTTTTCGGTTTTCAGCTTTTTGTTTTGCTTTAATTATCTCAGCTTTTAGCCTGTCAGCATCCTCTAGGTCACCATATACACAGAGATTATATGTAACAGGAGTAGGTTCAAGATCATGTATCAGCATCTCGTTGTGTAACTGAAAAGCTTTCTCGAAGTCTTGAGCTTTGCAGAAACATTTGATGATAGCATTATATGTGATTTGATCCGGGGTTAGGCCCTTAGCATACATTTTCTCAACTAAGTGAACAGCATCCCACAGCTTCCCCTGTTTGCAAAGTCCTTTAATAACTACCGTGTAAGATACATGAGTTGGTTCTACAGCTTTTGCTTCCATGTCTTGAAGTAATTCAAGCATGCCCTTGATGGTTCTACATCTTTTGCTTCCATGTCTTGATCTTCCTGCAGTGATTTTCACACTGTTGTTTTCTCCTTTTGCGGTGATTTTCCCTTGGTTTACTCAAGTCCAGTTTTTCACATTCTTTGTATGATGCAGCAGAATTTGGTTTTTGAATTGGTTTATGTGGTTTTTTCTTAACACAAAGTTTATGTGGCTTTTTAATGTCCAATCTTAATAGCAGAGAATGATGAATGCATACCCTTTTGAATTGTAATTATTTTGGTTTATATTTGTTTTTGTTATTTCCTCTTGCATTCAGATTTCTCACAAGGACCCAACAAGAAGGAGATTCTTTAGTTGCAGTTTCCTTTCTACCATTGCCATGCTTTCTGCAGTTCTCTTCTTTCGGAGGCAGTTTGTTGTCACTGATTAAGAGGTACTATTCACCATACTTGTATATTAACTGAACTTTTTAAAAACGTGGATATGTTGTTCATATGATTGATATTGTTGATACTTCGACCTACAGTTGCTAATATAGTTGACTACATTTTGATATAGTCAAGATATCATCGACAAACTTAATTGACTACATTTTGCAAAAAGTGCTGTTAAACTCACGGCATGAAGACTATATGTATATGTTTTCCTTGGCATATTTAGTACTAATTAGACATTTCATTCACAGAAGTTTTTAGCATAAGGATCAGTTAATGCTATGCAACATACAATTTCGAAAAGTTGCCAGGTTTTCTTAAATGGTGCACCAGTCTTATTTATAATTTATATGTACAATGGTTAAAATTTGTAGTTGTGATTGATGTTCTCCTGCATGTTTGGGCTCAATGCAGGCCTGAAGGAACTGAAGCACTGCCTAAAGGAATGGTTTCCAAGAACTTTGACTTGCTAATGCAACCCTTTATGAGGTCCCTAATACAAAAAGGTAAGCCGTTGTTTCTGTGTTAATTGTAGCGATAATCTTCAATTTTGATTAGGCAGCTCGAAGGATATTTAATTAGGTTTGTAAGAAATCGGATTTTAATGCTGATATATGTTCTGTACTCCTTTTGTTTTAGAACTCAAAGTCATCAACAAACTTACTGGCCATTGCAGTTGAATTAAAGCAAAAGAAAAGTGTGAACAAGATTGTAAAGAAGGTAACCAAAGGAGAACACAATTGTTTCTCATCCAGTTGTATAGTTTCTTTGTATCTTCAAATTCATGGATTTGGTTTCTCATTGTTATTCGATTTGTCAGTTCCCATCAAGTCATTTTGTTGTGGTGCTTTTTTCATTACGCGGTCATGTTCACAGTTAGCATTCATAAGAGTATTATAAGTAACTGGACTTGGTAGCAATCCATGCAGCTCAATGGTATCCAACATCCTTCGAGCCTCAACTAGCTTCCCAATTTTGCAGAAACCATGAATAAGAGTATTGAAAGTGACAGTACTAGGATTTATTCCCTTCTCAATTATTTGTTTATATAATTTTATGGCTTCGGCAACACTACCTAGTTTTACATACCCATCCATCATAATATTATACTTCCTTGTCGTCAGATGATCAAAATACTTCCTTGCCTCATAAATATCCCCTTTCTCACGCAGACGTAACAGAATACCACGGTTTGCAGAGTAATTGGGAATGATTCTCTTCCTGTACATTCCTCTATATATTTCGCTAGCCTTTTGTACATCTCGTTGCTTGCATAGACCCTGAATGAGGATTGAATATAACAATCCCAATGTTTCTTCTACCCGTCCACTTTTACACATACCGCTGAGTAGTACACTGTAAACAATGACACTCAACTGAAAATCTCTTGAAATCATCTCTTTCCGCAACTTAAGGGCTTCGTCAATGTTGCCAACATGGCAGTGGCCACATATCATAATTGTATATGTAACATGATCCGGATTCAACCCTTTAACCAACATTTGCTGAATGACCTTGCGAGTTCCACTCATCAAACCAAGTAGATGAAACCCCTTACAGAGAATGTTGTAAGTTAGCGTGTCAGGCTGTACCCCATGCCTCTCCATGTCTTTGGTGAACTCCAATGCTTGTTCCAATGAACCTGCTACACATAGCCCATGAATCAGAATATTATAACTGTACGAATCAGGAACAAGTCCATACTTGAACATCATACAAAAAAAGGACTTTGCAACATCCACAAAACCCAATTTACAGGACCAAGACATGATGATATTGAAAGAAACAACACAAGGCCCAGTCTCCGTTCTTTCAGCATCCACGAGGAAAGAAACTGCATCTTGCAGACCGGATTGATGGCACGGTCCATCTATAAGTATGGAAGTAGTGTAGTCACTCTCCGGAGTTCCAGTATCTTTTATTTCATTATAAAATCAACCAATTCCAAAAGGCTTTGACGCTTAATCTCTTTCTCCCTAGGATTCTTAAGGGTATCAGAGAAATCGAATTGAAAGCAACAAACCTGCAATTTGCGAAGGAACAGGGTCTGCCGGTCCGAGACGGGCACATCACGGAACGAAGGGAGAGGCTCGATGGTTCCAGAAGGCGGTAACGCCGTAATCCCTGCGGCGCCAACTGCGTTGGTGCCGGAAGCAGCCGGCCCAGAGCGGGAGGCATGGTTTACGACCACATTCGCCGAGACAGCCCCAGAATTGCGGGTCTCGGGCTGCCCGTACCCGTACGAAGAAGGATCATGTGTCTCGGATTTCGAGGGCTTCTTGTTTCCCTTGATGATTTTCTTAAACATAATTTCCCAATGCAGCGACGAATCCTAAACCCTAGAATTGAGGACGGCGATCGATATGGGAATCGGGAAGCAGCTCTGGCGACGTGGGGGAAGCAATCGGCGATTGGCGATGATTTGATTCAACATGCATGGAACGAGGGCCCTAGATTCTCCACAAATCAATCAAATCCCCGAGTGGTTCTATTCAATGGGCGATTTCGGCGTCGGAATACGAAATTGAAATTGAAATCGAAAGGGGGCGCGGGGATACGAAGAAATATACCTTCTTTGGAGATTGGAATCGCTGAGTGGTTGTTGGTGGATCCGAATTCAAAGTCATCTGAGATGAAGCTTCTTGATCTCTAAATGTTTTTTTTTTTTGAACTTTTAGATTCAGGTCCATTATATGTATTTATTTTTCTTGATCGTCAATTATATGTATTTATTTTTTTAATGCTCATTTTATATTTTCTAAAAATATTAAAAATCTTAAAATCTTCTAATATTATGAATTTTCAACCCCAAAAAATATAATTAATATCTTATAACAAAAAAAAAAAAAATACATTGACATAAATCTATCTGCAAACCATTCTACCCTAACTCAAGTAACAAATATATGAATGTATATCATACCTATAAGTAAGATATGAAACTTAACTAAAAGGTAGAAAAAAACATAATATATCTACAAGCAAGACACATGAATCTTACTTGATTATAAAAAAGAATCTATCATAGGTAGATAAATATAATTAACCTGTGATATAGGTTGATTATAAAAATAAAAAATAAAATCTATAAATGGGGTTTAAAAAGGGATAAAGAACAAGAAAGAACAAAAAAAAAATCAAAGAGATAATTAAGAAGAAATTTGATTTTTATAATAAATCTTATAATTTAAGAGATAATTATTGATAATAAAATAATAAGATTTAAGGAATTGGATTTTTCCTACCATTGGCTCAAAAAATTGGACCTATATCAAGTTTCCCCTTTTTTTTTTCCTATTTTTGGCGTATGCGATCTCGAAGCATATACAAACAAGTTTGACGGTTGGATCGTTGAAACTAGTTTCGTACAATATGTTTCCCATCAAAATGGTAGATTTACTAACACTTAGAGTTTATTAATACTTTCATCAAGTATAACATAAGATTTTGTGGTATCCACTTGTGTAAATACATTAAATTGACGATCGAATTAGTTCATTGTATTCATATAGGGTCAAGGAGTGTAGCTGTAAAAAATCATCAAAATCGGAGTTAAAACTACCGTTAAATCGTTATTTTTCATTTATAACCGTCGAAAAGTTTTGTCGCGTTACTTGATCTCTAAATATTTTTTTTTTCCTATTTTTGGCGTATGCGATCTCGAAGCATATACGAACAAGTTTGACGGTTGGATCGTTGAAACTAGTTTCGTACAATGTGTTTCCCATCAAAATGGTAGATTTACTAACACTTAGAGTTTATTAATACTTTCATTAAGTATAACATAAGATTTTGTGGTATCCACTTGTGTAAGTACATTAAATTGACGATCGAATTAGTTCATTGTATTCATATAGGGTCAACGAGTGTAGCTGTAAAAAATCATCAAAATCGGAGTTAAAACTACCGTTAAATCGTTATTTTTCATTTATAACCGTCGAAAAGTTTTGTCGCGTTACTTGATCTCTAAATATTTTTTTTTTCCTATTTTTGGCGTATGCGATCTCGAAGCATATACGAACAAGTTTGACGGTTGGATCGTTGAAACTAGTTTCGTACAATGTGTTTCCCATCAAAATGGTAGATTTACTAACACTTAGAGTTTATTAATACTTTCATTAAGTATAACATAAGATTTTGTGGTATCCACTTGTGTAAGTACATTAAATTGACGATCGAATTAGTTCATTGTATTCATATAGGGTCAACGAGTGTAGCTGTAAAAAATCATCAAAATCGGAGTTAAAACTACCGTTAAATCGTTATTTTTCATTTATAACCGTCTAAAAGTTTTGTCGCGTTACTTGATCTCTAAATGTTTTTTTTTCCTATTTTTGGCGTATGCGATCTCGAAGCATATACGAACAAGTTTGACGGTTGGATCGTTGAAACTAGTTTCGTACAATGTGTTTCCCATCAAAATGGTAGATTTACTAACACTTAGAGTTTATTAATACTTTCATTAAGTATAACATAAGATTTTGTGGTACCCACTTGTGTAAGTACATTAAATTGACGATCGAATTAGTTCATTGTATTCATATAGGGTCAAGGAGTGTAGCTGTAAAAAATCATCAAAATCGGAGTTAAAACTACCGTTAAATCGTTATTTTTCATTTATAACCGTCGAAAAGTTTTGTCGCGTTACTTGATCTCTAAATGTTTTTTTTTTCCTATTTTTGGCGTATGCGATCTCGAAGCATATACAAACAAGTTTGACGGTTGGACCGTTGAAACTAGTTTCGTACAATGTGTTTCCCATCAAAATGGTAGATTTACTAACACTTAGAGTTTATTAATACTTTCATTAAGTATAACATAAGATTTTGTGGTACCCACTTGTGTAAGTACATTAAATTGACGATCGAATTAGTTCATTGTATTCATAGAGGGTCAAGGAGTGTAGCTGTAAAAAATCATCAAAATCGGAGTTAAAACTACCGTTAAATCGTTATTTTTCATTTATAACCGTCGAAAAGTTTTGTCGCGTTACTTGATCTCTAAATGTTTTTTTTTTCCTATTTTTGGCGTATGCGATCTCGAAGCATATACAAACAAGTTTGACGGTTGGATCGTTGAAACTAGTTTCGTACAATGTGTTTCCCATCAAAATGGTAGATTTACTAACACTTAGAGTTTATTAATACTTTCATTAAGTATAACATAAGACTTTGTGGTATCCACTTGTGTAAGTACATTAAATTGACGATCGAATTAGTTCATTGTATTCATATAGGGTCAAGGAGTGTAGCTGTAAAAAATCATCAAAATCGGAGTTAAAACTACCGTTAAATCGTTATTTTTCATTTATAACCGTCGAAAAGTTTTGTCGCGTTACTTGATCTCTAAATGTTTTTTTTTTCCTATTTTTGGCGTATGCGATCTCGAAGCATATACGAACAAGTTTGACGGTTGGATCGTTGAAACTAGTTTCGTACAATGTGTTTCCCATCAAGTGCAATGGTATATGAATTTACTAAGTAGATTTTAATTTATTTAATTTCTACTTATAACACTTAAGAAATTGAATGATATATATGTAAAAAAAATTATTATGGGTTTTTTTTAGAATAATATATTATTGTGGTGTTTATGTGAAATAAAAATTGAACTTGAAAGGAGTAAAGTCACATTTTTGGTAATTTTTTTAATACTTAAAAAAAAAAAAAAAAAAAAAAACCTTGCGCGACGCTTTAATCGTCGCGCAAAACCACTTTGCGTGACGTCAAATTGTAAAACTGCGTCACGCCAGTTGATAATTTTGGCGGTCCTCAACAAAAAATAGGCGCTTTTTTTTCAATTTTCCCAAATTTTCCAACCATATATCCTATCCTCTTTCCCTCCCGGTTTTTCTTTCCGTAGACCTCTTTTCAGACCTCTTCCTCTTCCTCTTATCCTCTTCCTCTCGGTTTTGCTTAAATTGCAGACTTTGGGTTTCGGTTGGAAATTGCAGACTTTCGGTTTTGGTTGGAAATTGCAGACCTCTTCCTCTTCCTCTTATCCTCTTCCTCTTCCTCTTATCCTCTTCCTCTCGGTCTTCCTCTCTCTTTCCCATAGACTTCTCTCTTCCTTCTCGTTCTAACGACGGGTAGCCACACGAATGTTGAAGCCAACGGGAATCAAGTCCCAAAATCAAGGTAAGGGTTTGTGATTTGCGATGGGTTTTTGTTATTTAGGGATTAGGGTGAAATTGCAGTTCAGTGTAGGGTTTCACTTTATGATTTTGCTGCACGCACACTCGATTGTTGATGGGTTGGTGAGGAATTGTTATTACGCTGATTCGATACGGATGAATTCAAACATTGGTTTTTCGGTTTCCTGATATCTTTCGATTTAGAATTTTATGGGTGAAGTGCCTTTGTGCAGTAGAAAGAATCAAATGTTAAATGTGTGATTTGAATAGCTGATTTGAATAGCAGTAGAAAGAATCAAATGCAGTAGAAAGTATCGAATGCAGTATAAAGAATCAAATGCTTCTTAAATTTGATTTGAATAGCTGATTTGAATTGCGTGACGTACACCTTCTTCCAAAATATCTTTACATTAAGCAGGGTTTCACTTGAATGGAGATTTTAAGGAAAGGATATATATTGATCCTTCTGAGAGTTGAATTCGTAATGCTTCTTAAATGTGGGCTGTCAGCCCCCTTGTTTAATTCCAAAATTAAGTACAAGGACACACCAATGTCAAGGAAAAAGCTCATTGAATAAAAATTGCTGCTTAAGAAAGCAGAGGTGGAAAGAAATTTGTTTTAGAATTTCATTAAGTAGGTGGTAACAATTAGATGCTAAATATTTCTCAAGTTTTTGTGGCTTGTGTCAAGAGTTAATTTGTTGACAAAGCCTTTGTTTTCAATCAAAGTGGTTGAATAATAATTGAACATCCTTTCAGGCTGGAAGCGTTGATGTGCTGCACTGCTATTATGCACAAATCTATTCTTTGTTTGTGTATATGGATATTCTTTGTATGTCTTGAGTCCTTCAAATCAAAATTGAGTTTTCACTATCACCATCATGCTACTCATTGACTAGCGTTATCGTCTTGATGCAGTTGTGGCAGATACATGTTGCTGAGCAAATGATTTTGAATGATTTGGAGGCTAATCCTGATAAATACAAAGGCAAAAAACTGTCAGAGTTCTGATCCTGAAGATTACGATGAAAAAAACAATGTTGAATATACAACAGCCCAGTACAAGAAAACTGTAGTACCGAAAGTGATTCTGGTAAATGATTCTCCAGTGACATTGCAGTGTGTTCTATGAATATATGATATGACATTCACTGATTGTTCTTCATTTTTGTACGCAGAAAACTAGCGTTAAAGAACTTGATTTGGAGGCTGCATTTGCTGAGCGCCAGGTCAGCTGTTCCGTTGCTTGTTAGATTCATATTCTTGAGTATTACATTTGCTCAAAGCACTATATTGACTGTTGCGTTTCTTTTTGCTTTGCAATATATAAGTTGGCTGAGGAAAAGAACACTCTCACTTTATTTATTTGTTCTTTTATGTTTGCCTGCAGCTACGTAATGCACTAAAGAAGGAAGCGGAAGAGAGAGGAGAGGAATAATAATTGAACATCCTTTCAGGCTGGAAGAAAATGAAAATTTCCAAAGGCGCAGTTATTGGATGCTTGAAGAGTGAGTTATATGCTACAAATCTATCAAAGATTTTTATTCTCAAGCCTTAGCAGTGTTTGTGGATGTGTTTGCAAGTACAAGCAGGCACCCACGGCTGCCTGTTCATTTTAATACCTGTCTAATAAAATTAAAGAAAACCCAAATGCAGTTAACATTTAGTCTCACATGCTAATGATTCAAGTAATTTATTGTGAAATTTTCTTTTCACGTCTGACTTACTTGGTCATTGCTGCAGGGCTCTGCAACACATAGTTCTCGTCCACTACCGGGAAGTTAAGGTAATGCTTTCTTCTTTTGATTTCATTCTTGTTGTTTGCGCAGGCATAGTTTTTTTTCATTGACATATGGCATTCTTGGTTGACAAGAATTACTTTGACATCTCACTTTTTATTTCCTCAGGTTCTAGGTCGAGAGAAGGACATTTCAATCCCTCTGGACTTAACAACAATTCAACTTTTCCAACCAGAAGAAAAAGAACACTTCAACACTAGCCGAGAAAGGTATTCGTGCACCTTTTTTTATTTTTTTTTTTATTTTTTTATTATTTCATGATATAGATCTTTGCACAATTGGTAAAAGCAAATGCAGGCCTAGAACATATTTGCACAATGATAACCACACATCATTAATTTTTCTCTCCTACACACCTCTTTTTATTTAAGTCACCGAAACTGAATTGATTAAACAAAAATTATGATTAAAATTAATCATGAGTGTACATGAGAAGAAAATTTGGGTATGGTTATCATTTTGCTCTATAAGATGGGCAAATATTAATTATTCCTAACCCTACTTGAGCAGTTTCCTTAACCTGAAATAAAACCTTAAAAGGCATCTTGGGCATGGGCCTGTCTTTGGGCCCTGGGTGTTGGCATAAGAGGACAAACTAATTGGGTGTACCTGTAATCTGAGGTTGGTCACTAAATATGCCTACACTATGCGCAAAGCCTAAATATGATGTATGGTCGTTGTTGTGCGCGGATGACTGGTATGGATATTAGTCTTTAAGTCTCTAATGACACCACTCATTCCATTTTTTGTTTGTCACTAAATAATCACACATTCATGCGTAACCTAACTAAATGGGAAAATGTTGTAGAGTGTTGCTTTTGCTAAATTGGGCCTAAAGAGACATTTTCGTAGCTTTTGGAGTAGCCTTCGAGTGTTTATGTCCGATTATTCATGACCACGGGATAGGCCTGCACTCGATCCCAGTTGTTACTTAGTTGTTTTAGGCTTTTTCCACTTGTCCCAAAATAAAAAATTAAAAAAAATCCCTGATTGTATATAAACATCAACACATGTTTGTCATGAAGAATTTGATTTTTGTACTTAAACATATACCAGCTGAACCAAAATTTTGTTGTCCTACTCAAAATGGCATTTCATTTGTGTGGTTAATAATGTTTGATATTTTTTCTTTTTGTTTTTCGGGAGGGATGGGGGTGGGGTTTTAATTGATAATCAAGTTTAACGATGATCACAACTTTGACAGAGTGATAAATCATTATTGTTCTGTCATGTTAGATGGAATTCAAGTCGTTTATTCAATAATCGCTGGCCAGGAAAAATCTGGCCAAAGTAATGAAATATTTAGAATTGACTAACTTTAGATAATTGGCATTTTAATTTCTAAGTTGTGATATGTGAAGTAGAATTGACTAACTTTAGATAATTGGCATTTTAATTTGTAAGTTGACTAAGTTGTGACATGTGATATGTGATGTGTGATATGTGAAGTTTTTAGAATTGACTAACTTTAGATAATTGGCATTTTAATTTCTAAGTTGTGATATGTGAAGTAGAATTGACTAACTTTAGATAATTGGCATTTTAATTTGTAAGTTGACTAAGTTGTGACATGTGATATGTGATGTGTGATATGTGAAGTTTTTAGAATTGACTAACTTTAGATAATTGGCATTTTAATTTCTAAGTTGTGATATGTGAAGTAGAATTGACTAACTTTATATAATTGGCATTTTAATTTCTAAGTTGACTAAGTTGTGATATGTGATATGTGATGTGTGATATGTGAAGTTTTTAGAATTGACTAACTTTAGATAATTGACTAACTTTAGAATTGACTAAGTTGTGATGTGTGATATGTGAAGTAGAATTGACTAACTTTAGATGATTGGCATTTTAATTTCTAAGTTGTAGCAGTGTAGTGTGTGTTTCAGTTTCGGGATGTGAAACTTTTCGTTCCATTGTTATGACATTGGTTTAATTAGACCTTTGCATGCTATGAGCCTAGCTATTCTGCTTTACAACTTCCCAATCCATTAGTTGACTCTTTATTTGCTCTCGAACACATGACAATAAGCTTTACAAGTTAAGCATCATCTTTTGCCTTGAGTTAATCAGTTGTGCCCCTTAGGCACTGTTTCAATAAAATCATTCAATTGTAAAAGGAACTTATGGGTGCTTAACCTGGCTTTTACGAACATATGATGTCTGACCTTTATATTCTAACCTTTTGTAATCCTAATTTGGTTGTTGATTAAAGTGGAACCAAATATTTCATACTTGTATACCCTCATTATTTGTATGTGATAGAAAAAGAGGCGCAAGCTGATAACTTTTTGTGCTAAATTCATGACAATCTAAAAACAGTAAGTACCAAGGATAATAAGATATGTGTGATATTTTGAGTCTGATAACACCACCTCCTTATAAGGTTTGAGGGTGAGTGGGTCCAATTCCTGTTTAGTTTGTGCTATTGGCTTAAAGAAAACTAAAGGGAGATGATATGATTCTACCATTTGTGGTGGTTTGCCGGTATTTCTCATCAAGAACTTGGTGGTTGAACCTTGAAATCCTATATTCCATTAAGCAAATATTATCAAAGCTGAAAAGGTATTCTTTCAGCATTTTGTGTGGCATGCTTTTAAGCCATTTACCTTCTTTTTAGCGAGAAAAGATTTATGCTTTCGCCTTTTGTTTTCTATTCTTTTGTTAAATTTCTTACTGATAAGTTTGTCTGTCAAATGATGTTGAGTTGAATGCTTTCTTCAAAAAGTGTATAGATGTCGAAGTTGATCGCTCGTCGTAGGAGTGTGACCAATGCGCCTCCCGCATTATCAGCATTTACTGCTCCATCCGTGAGTGCTCCATTGAATGGGGAGACTACACCCCTTACTGAGTCTACTGCTACGGCATCCCAGGTGCCTGTATCATCGACGTCATCAGTGTCGGTTCAGTCGCACAGTGCACGGCGGCCTCATCGGCACCGCCGCGATTTGGAGCCTTCATCATCCAGAGTTGAGGATGGGGGCTCCCAGCCAGGTAGTTTATTTTTCCTAATTCTCACTACGTTGTATTTTTTTTTTCATTTTAAAACTATTATTTTTATGATTGTGAAAATTTGTTGTGGGTTGTGAATTACTGTTATTTTACTTTTTTAAGGTTTTGGGAAATGATATACTATTAGGGGAGGTTTTGCAAAATTTTGTATAGAAATTTAAGCTTAGGATTTTCACCATTTAAGTTTTTTTGGATAGCTAAAAAAAAACCAGGGGGCCTAATCGAATGCTGAAGACGGCACAGAATGTACGTCTGTCTGCCTCCTTGATCAAGATTGCATATGACTCGCGACATCGTGGAGCGGCTACCTCACAGCAACATAGCATCGTCGCTACTAGCTGTGGTTGTGTTATTCGGGATTGTTGTCCTATGCAGTGGGAGACTTGGGCAGAAATTCCTCAGGAGACGAAGATACTGGTGCGAGACAAGTTGTCGGTTAGTATATTAATTTTTGGCCTTTTATCATTTTTTTAATTATGTTTACAAATATTATAAACCAAAGTATATTATCTTAATATTATTAAATTTCTTACTATTATTTTGTTGTTTTATTTGTAGGTCAATTTTGATTTTAAGGACATATCCCCTGAGGTCATCACCTACTTAGACGAGACCTTCGCAAATCGGTACAAAAATTGGAAGAGCGATCTTCATGCGCATTTTAAGAAATTTAATGATCCAGAGGTTGCTCGCCTACAGGGTTGCCCATCCGACTTGAAGGATCGGCCAGAGGATTGGGAATGGCTCTGCAACCATTTTACGGACTCAAAATTTGTGGTATGTACTTAATATTTTAATAATAATTCATTAAAGTTTTAGTTATTTTTTTAAGCTTTTTAAAATAATTTCTTTCAAATAGTCGCACTAACATGTATATTGTGTGTTTAACAGAAGAAATCTGTTGCTGGCAAGAAAGCTCGGGACTCTAAGACACTTCTCCACCATTCCGGTTCGAAGCCCTTTTCGTATAGGATTGAGACACGACGTCAGGTAAAAGTATATTAATTTTGAAATTTTATACAATTTATTTTTTATTATTGATTAATAAAATTTTCCTAATGGTTTTTTTTTTTTTTTCAGGAGGGTTCTAAGTTCCCAGAGATCGACGTGTTCAAGGACGTTTACGTTCGACCTGGCAATGAGATCGCTGAGCAGCTTCATGTAAGTAGATGTAATTGTTATTATTCTTATATTTATGAATCGTTCAAATATTATTTATATTTTGTTATTAACCATTATACGTTTTTTCTTTATTATTACAGGCTACTATGGTGGAAAAGGGCGATGCTGTTATCCAAGAAGCAACATCGCAACTTCCCTTGGAAACCCCGATGGAGGACGTCACTTTACCCGAGGATGTAGGTTTTCAGATCATGACTGAGGTCCTGGATCAAAAGTACGGTCGTCGTCATGGCAAGGTTGTTCGGGGTATGGGGAAGGCGCGGGTTCGTGAGACGGGTGCCTCTTCTTCTAAATCGACCACAGGAGAGGTCAACGCCCTGAAGGAGGAAGTGACAACCCTTAAAGGTCAGCTTGCAGCCCAGGACGAGCAGATAAAGGCCCAAAGTGAGCAGATGAGGGCCCAGAGCGAGCATATAAAGGCGGAGAACGAGCAGATGAGAGCTGAGAACGGACAGATGAGGGCCCAGATGAGTATGATTGTACAGGCCTTAGTGGTGTCCGGTCTCCAAATCCAGCTGCCAGCACCTGATCTTACTCCACCTTCGACCTCCCAGCCACCTCACCTACCCGATACCCAGTAGTTTTCAAACCTAGAAGACTACTTGTTGTAGTTTTTTCTTTTTTTGCTTAGACATCTTGTATGCACATTTTCATATATATGGTTTATAATTAAATTTTTTTTTGGTTTATTGTTTATTGTTTAGAATAATTACAATATTTATTAAAAATTATATCAAAAATATTAATAAATCAAAAATATTTTTGTCAAAAAAATTAAAAAAAAAAATAAAAACATAAAAAGTTTGCGCGACGAAGAAGTTCCATAGGTCACGCAAATTGGGTTTGCGTGACGTAGGTATGTGTCACGCAAAGTGTCTTTAAGTGACGCCAACCACCTTTGCGTGACGCACACCTTCGTCACGCAAGCCCACTTTGAGTGACGCACACATACGTCACGCTAGCCCACTTTGCGTGACGCACACCTTCGTCACGCCAGCCCACTTTGCGTGACGCACACCTTCGTCACGCAAGCCCACTTTGCGTGACGCATGGAACTTCTTCGTCGCGCAAAACCTTCTTTCACAGGTGTGGCGTGACGCCTGTCGCGCGACGAAGCTTCGTCACGCAAATTTTGGCGCGACGTTTTTTTGACTTTGCACGACGAAGGACCTACGTCACCCAAAGTATTTTTTGTACTAGTGTGTACCGCTTTACTTTGCTTATGTAGCAAAAAATCTTTCACTGTGTTGTAACCATTCACTTGATTGTGAATTATGTCCAGCCGTACGACGAGAAAACTATGACATTAATTATTTATTAACACAATATTTACATACACCTACAACAAGCTGAGTAATAAATTACAAGGAGGACAAGTAGTTAACCACTCGAACCAGACTCTCACACGAGTCTGGCATTTGCTCTTCAAAAAACAAACGACACATGCAGATGCAGCGTGCTGTATTTTATCTATGCAGAGGCACTCGTCTTGTGTCGGGCTTTCTCCTTCTCCTTCACTTCACTTCCCGGCGACTTGTCGTTGGCCGGATGGTCGTCATGGATCAGCTGAGCCTGCTCCGTTTTAGCCCCGTATGTCCCACCAAATCCTTCGTCCTCGCACCTCGATGCATACCCGACCCCGAAAGACTCCAACAAAATGTCTCTGATAGTGTTCATATACAAACACTTTAGTCAACAGATTTAACCACCAATTTTGACACTCAAAGTTTTTGCCACTGAGGAACGTACACCTCTCCTGATTTTGGACTTTTTTTTTTAAATATTTTCAATCAGCAAACTCAATATTCTATTATTTTTACCGACTGTACCACTTTGTTATATACGTAAAATATATTATGTAAAAGGTACCTATTTTATTATTTTAGAAAGTGAATCTATTCATTTTTTTCTTATTTATATACGCATATTTTGAAATGAAATGTATCTTTTTTTAATTTAACACACACCACTATTTAAAAATAAAAATAAACATTTTACTTTTAACAATTAAACATTCATATTCAGTATTAACCTGTGCATGATTTTAAGAATAATTTAATAATTTCTGAAATTAAAAATTTTAATTAATACTGAAATTTGATATTTTAATCAAAGTATTCAAATTAACAAAGTTTTCAACCTAAAATTTTAGTCTATCAAAAGACGAGAACCAAAATTTCCATAAATAATATGTTAAAATCAACCAAGATATAATCGGCATATTGTTGATACATTAGCCACGTTATCGACACAAAGTTCTATCTTTTCTAGTCATGAATTTGAAAAAAATACAAGTATATGTCAAAGAAAAGAAAATATACTAACCCAGTTTTCAGAGTAGGTTCCTCCTGCTGCTCATCCATGTTACTGTTCTCACTAGAAACGTGAACACTTGCAGCCTGCTTGAATCGGACTCCAGTAGCTTTCCGGCCAAAGTTTGACGGCAGCGGTGGCGTGAATATCAAACCTGGCGGTTGTGGTCTAATTAATCTGATCGCGGTGATCATCTTCTGCATCTTCAAATTTGCGCTCCTTTGCTATTTAGACACAGAGGTTGAAACTTGAGTTGTTTTATGCACTCACGCAGTGTAAAAATCTTGGAAGTCACTAGATTTCTCTGACTCTTGTAGGAATGCTACCAGAAGCTTTACTCTTACGTCGTGGTACGTGGTGATGTGGGGACACGTATCGAATTTTGGAGAGAAAAGTGTTTACGTAGCCATTCAAGTGCGCACGGCACTGACATATTTGAATCTTGACACAGTTTTTTGCCGGGAGAAGATAAGGGATACGGACGAGCAACGACATGGGCAGGTTTTATTGGTTGAAAGAAAGGTTTCACACCACAGTATATAAAATAATAAAAAATAGCATGCGTAGCTTTATCTTATTGGATAAGCAATAAAGTACCTCAGATTTTTCCCACCGCCTCTAATTATATCGCGATCCCTTCTACAGTGAGTATACCGCCAAACGCAAGCTCGGCAGCCAACCTAGCAACAATAACAGAAGCGGCAGGAATCAATGAATTCATGTTAAGTTCCTCGTACCCTAAGAAAATGAAATAATTAATGATACAAGCAACAACTGAATTATCACTTCACCCACGTAGCTCATAGTTGGGTTGTTGATTCTTTTGATACTGTTACAGTCTTGTAGTATTAGTCTCACAATAGACTAATAATAATATGGTTAAAATTTATCTTTGACGAGAATCGAATATAAAATCTCTCACTTACAAATGAAGAAAAATATTATGAGACCGTAGTACTAAGTGGCTCACATCTATCATGTTAACAAACCCATGCCTACAAACAAACAAACAAACAAAAAAAACTGCTCCCACACAAATTGTATGGGCTTAGACGAGTCGGTGTCGTTGTTCATTCTATAGGATAAAAAGCCCAATGTTTTCCAGCCCAGAACGCAGCCTATAACCTCCACTGTTGACAACTATGGGCTACCGCCAACTGGACCCTTTAAACCCAACAGAAAGTTGTTTTTTATTACGTTGCCTTGGCGTCACTGTAGTGTGCGAGTGTAAACCAGAACTAAGAATTTACGTAAACCAGCTACTGTCATATTGTCACCGTAGTGTTCCAAAATAATTATATCGTGTCACCTTGTTTGAGATTTTACTCAAAACTTTGGTCTTCTTTTCGATTCTTGAAAGGTGCACGTAAAGTCTTCTCATCCACAAGATTTAAGTTGGTTTGCCACAAAAAACAACTTTCTCATAACAGTTGGAACATCGTGAAATCAGAAGAGATCAAAATACGAAAAACTCACGTGACCAAATAGTTCACCGGGGAACTTTTTACGTCACAGCTGCAGCAAAATAGTAGAGCCACAATCTTTGGGTTACCTAGTTTTACAGGAAAGGGAGGGAAATTATGAGACATGCCGTGTGGACATTCCATAGAATTCAACTACAATTTGCAGTCGATTCAAACGTAAGATGATATCGTCGATGACAACCTTTTAGTCTCTCTACTTTCGGCAGCAGTGGTACTAAATATGAGTCATGATCCAGTAAGCCAATGCATATCGATGACATGTCACTTTTTTATGCTACTACAAGTCAACAAGTGCAAAGGAAGGTGGTCCCATACGACCGTTGCAGCATGCATGATGTCATCATCTCCGCACATTCTAAAATCCAGCCTTGGCAAGACGAAGTAGGATTCTCTCGTTTTTTTTTTTTTTTTTTATCGAACTTCGCTGCTGCTGATCTTTCAGCAGCAGTCGAGTTCATTTTTTTTTTCTTCTCACCTTCTCTATTCATTCAATTAAAAGGTCATAATTAATTTAAAATTTAGTTGGAATTCAGTGAGTGAGTAAGCAAAGGCATAACCGAACAAATAAGATTCAGACATTAACATTTTGTATTAACTTCTTTTAAAAAAAAAAAAAATAAAACAAAAAAGTGTTAAAAATTGAGAGGAAATGAGTTAAAAAATAGAAGGAAGAAAATCCTTCTTGCGAACGACCAACCAAACCCTAAAATATTTGAGGAATTGGACTTGGCTGTTGCTTACAACCAATCACAGCTAGACACGTATTCAAATTTTGATTAAAAATAAAACTTGAATACATATCTAACCGTGATTGATTGTAAACGACTGTGATTGGTTGTAAGGGGTTGTTGTTGATCTGTTCAGCAACGAAGTTCCATTCATATTTGGGTAGTGAAAAGTATGATTTGATCGGATGAGAGTCGTGCAATTGCAAACTGCAAAGCAAACGCTTCCTATATTATCAACAGCTGTTGGCTGCAAAAGACCAGTCAAGGTTTTGACTAAACCCTTCAATCTTCTTTGCACTATTCCATTACCGTTGTCTAAAGTTCTCAACTTTTAAACCCAACTATATCTATATCCCAACTAAAAGAAAAAATCTTTGTTCAAAAAAAAAAATCTATATTTTTTTGTTTTAAATACTAAAGTACTTTATAAATCTTTAGAATTTATAGATTGAAATACTAGATTCAATGTTTTATTGTGCTAAGACAATAAATTCTAATCACATGAAGCCAAACATTTATGAGAGTTTGTACGACGATATCACTTGAGCTTAAACAATAGTAATAAGGTATACGCATTCTTCCGACATGTACTTAATCAGTAAATATGTCTAGGTGCAATATACAATATACACACATGGCATTTTCTTGGAGAAATTGCACCCCCAATTTCCAAGTTTTGGGTTCTTTCACTTAGCCGTTTTGGAAAATTCACATGTCACATAACAATGTTTGAACGGCCACGGCATATCAAGAAGAGTTCTCTTTGACACGCACACACCAGTCCCCTTTTACTGTATAAACTATAGAGTAACAAAAAAATAACCTCTGGTAACTCTTGTCAATTACTTCCACTCCACCATTTATTAGTTCATGACATTCAGATTATAACTGGGTTAACCAGTGCCTTAGCTGTCAAGTTACCAAATCAGGTGGTCTTGGGGACAATTAGTGATGAACACATACCTCTTTCAAGTAATTAACAGCAAAAATTTTACTATGTTGAGCCACTACATTTGCAATTTGTTGGACTAATTAAATTAATTAGTTAAGAAAGATAAAAAACAGCTTATTTTTGTTTTACTTATAACGCGATATTTCAAACTATTTGAATTTACAAAAAGAACCAATCGTATTTTGAATGCTACGAAACTGACACATTACTTTGATGATCAACTAGTCTGGCTCACATTTGCTCGAAGATACAAATTCTAAGTTTCAAACAACCATTTGATCATTCCTCGCCACTTGTGAGAATGATATGTCACATTGTAGTGGCAGGGTGGACGGGCTAATAAGGGTCCATTTTTACAATTCAAGAAGGGGTTCGTGTTCTACAAGTAAACTGAGCAAAAAGATTGAAAGAGACTTATACCAAACCCCACATTTGTGATTTTTAGCAATAATAGGACCCTAACTTAAGGCAAAATATCAAATTTCTATAAACTCAAACGTTTCCTTTTACAATTGAGTCCTGAATTGTCACAATCGCTAGGACCATAAGCAGCAGCATTATTTGTCATGCAGTCCACTGCATTCCTTGTCATGCTTTTGGCCCCATTGATTTTGTACACTGACCAGGAAAGGCAATGCTTCTCCTCGCCAGCTGCTTCAATCCCCCTCTCTCTCTTCGCTCGAGAGGTCGAGATCTAGAGGGAGAGAGGGATTGATCGGAGACTATAAGGGACCGCCATTAATATTAAAATCGAGAAGATAACTTGGACCCATGGATTTGAAGTTTGAAGTCCAAGTCATTGTCTTTGCGCTGGTTTAAGAAAATTGATTACAAAACCCGAAAGCAACAGCCTCTGAATATGGAAAGGTTTCCGCTGCAGGAGAAGAAAGGTTTTTGTAGCAGATTGCTTTTGCTTACAGGTCGTCCTCCTCGGAAGGACACTTTACAGGCACAACCTGGTAAATACTGAAGCAATTAAAACTGTCAGATTTGATCATTTACTTCTTCTGCAAGTCACAAAAATGAAAAATCCGATGCCTTATTGCATAAGCATTGAAAAACCCTAATGTGGACACCAGTTAAGAATTTAAGGAGGTAAAATATCGAGTCTACTGTGAGAGGGAGACTTACCTACACCGAATAAATCATTGTCGTTGTGTATCTCAAATTAATATGCAATTCTATATATATGTGAGAAAGTTGAGACATAGAGCAACGCGGTGATAGTTAGGGTTTAGGGTGATGTTAGTTTAGGATACCACCACAACTCCATACCTTTTGATAATATGACATGCGCTGGATGAATGAAGCGTGGAATAAGCAACCAATAATCCAACAGTTAAGGAACCAATATGAGCTACATTCAAAGCTTAAAACTTCTTGTACAACCGTTTCCCATAAAATAAAAATTAAAAGCAATATGAGCTAAAGCCAGTAAACAATGCTCCCAAAAGTGAAGGTACGATAAGGTGAGACCATGGTATGCCAAGGCGTCAGCTACAAAATTTGTTTCTCTGTTCACATGGTTCCACTGAATACAATTGAACTCAGAGCCCAGCCATTTTATGTCTTCAATAATGGATTTCAGGTTCCATCGAGCATTCCAAATTTACTCCCTTAAAGAAAACCTTACTTAAGGTACATAATTCCTCCTTTTATGTAGAATTCCAAATGAATTCCATACAGTTTTTGCATATTGGCTGTTAAGAAATAAGTGAATTAGAAGCCAAGGAAACATTTTCACCTTTGGGAGAATCAATAGTTTCCACATTTTCTTTAGTAACTTCTGTCCACTCTCATCCCGTCGGTTATGACTCTGTAACCATTAACCAAGTTCCAGTCTTAATTGAAAATTATCCATTAGTTGACGCACCCTACACAAATCTATCATTTGGATTTTGCATAGGATAAAAGAATATTACAAATTTTTCTAACAATGTCCTGATCAACAACTTCAATCAGATGATTTCTATCCCAACAATTATTATCAATAAAATCACCGACTCTCAACTCCCCGGTTCAAACTTGTCCGCTGGCATGTTCCTTGTTTTTTAAGTCTTTAAGAAAAATTAAACATGTCCATTATATTTTAAAACAATAATACAAGCGTTAAATATTATTGAGCGAATTAAAAAAATAAATACTCACTAGTGAGTGTACAAGTATGATTAGTCGTTATTTTCCAGTCTTGAATTGAATAAATTAAACGGGTCCAAAACGAGAAAACGAGAGTGAAAATCACTACTCAAAGAATTAAGCTGAAATCAAATGGAAACTAAACTCAATATCAAGCTTCAAATTTACAGACAGAATTACAGAGAACAACCTTTTACCCTTTCATTTCAATTACCCTTTTTTTTTTTTTTTTTTTTTTCTTTACAATTAGTCATATTTCATAGTTTTAAACGTCAAACCTGTAAGAAAAGCCCCAACCAAGAAGCCAAAAAACAGAGGAAGTTGAAAAAACCTAGAACCAAACTACGAAATTAACAAGCAATTTGCCACCCAAAAAGCTCAAAATTAACACTGATGGTAACTACTAACTGTTAAGGTTTTTACTAAGGCAGAGTCTTGAGTTCCATCTCTGATTTCCGTCAATGGCGTACTGAAACTAACAGGCTCCGGCCCAGAACAAAAAGACCTGGCGAAAACCCCATAACCCGATTTCGAAATCGAAGCAAAACCCATTAACGCCATGAAGAAACTGTGAAGAGAGGAACTTCATTCCAGGACAAAGAGAGAAACCCAGGTGGAGATTCCCTTAGAGAATACAAAGAACTGTAGTTGTAGTTCCAGAGCAGGATTTTCGCTTGGCTGACGGAGTAATGGCTGAGGGCTACCGGCTCAAAGCCGGAGCATTCCATCAGATACTTCCACTGCTCTTTGTCTTCGAACCGTTCTCTTTTGGTTCCCGGTTGCTCCGGCCCCACCAAGCTGCCAATTCGTCGACCCAGTAAAAGCCTCTCCACCTTCAGCCGCTCCGGTGAGTCTCGGATCATGTTCGGCTCCAACGATTCGAACAGCGCAGCGTAGTACTTCAATGCGTTCTTGAACCGGCTGGCGAACCCGACCCGGTTCAAATTCGCTTCGTACTCGCCCAAAGTCACAACCTGAGGGTTCAGAGACTTCGCCAGCTTCAGAGCAGATTGAACTGCTGTTGGTTTCTCGTCAAGCAGGTTGTACAATTGGAGCACCAAGTTCACAGCCAAGGCCTCGTCCGGGTCCACCCGAACGCACGACTCGTCAAGCTGGTGAACCGGAGTCAGAATCGGTTCGAACTCGAAGTTGAGCTCCAGAAGCTTCGCGAACTCTCGGAGTCGATTTCCAGTAGCAATTAGCGAGGCCGCCGGAGAATCCCCAAGAGAAGGAGCGGGTATGCCGGAGATCCGAATACTGACCGGTTTTCCGGTGGACCGGGTCGCGAGAGCCTGCAGCAGTGCCGCCCATTGGACCCCTTGGACAATTCCGAAGTCGACTATGTGGATCTTGGTAGCTCTCTCCGTCGCTTCGAGTATCGCTTGGTTCGCCGTTAAATGGGCAAACTTGGAATACGGGCATGCGTCGTTTAGGGCCTTGTACGACAGCGTGAAGTCCTCGCAAGGAGTGTCGTACGCAGTCGTAAAGCTCTTCTCTAATTGCAGAAACGACACTCTATTTTGCAGCGCTTCTGCGAAGTAAAAGGCGACTCTTTCAGTTGGATCCCCGTGGTCCGAGACCGATTCCCTGAGTCGAACCAGAGACTTGACAGCGCCGTCGGGGTCGGACTCGGCTAGCCTGGCGCATTCGAGGAGGGCTTTTAGCAGCGGCGGTTCTGACTCGATCTCGGGCGACCTTAACGACACTCCGACGGCGTCGTTTGGGAGTGACTGAGGGTCGGTTGATTTGGACTCCTTTACCGAAACCTGGTGTAGTTGCTGTGGCAGCGGTGAAGTCCACGCTGGCAATTGGTTCTGAGTCTCGGAGAATATGACTCGGTTGAGATCTGACGGCGGAGAACAGGGATTGCTGAGTCGACTCGGGCAGTGGGGTCGAAACGGATCGGCGCCGTAGAGACCGAAATCAGAATTGCTCCCCTGCCACGTGTCGCAAGCAGAAGGCAGGTTAGAACTATCCGTTGAATCCCCACCGCCTATTATGCTATCCATCCACTCGTCCGAGTCGAACTCGGCCGGGCCACCGCCGCCCAAATCCGAAAACCTAAACCCGGCGGAGTGGTGATCCAAGTTAGGAAACGGAAACCCAGGCTCCCCACCGGCGTCGGAACTTCCCGGAAGCTGAAACGGGTCGGAAAACCCCGACCCGGTCAACCCGAAGCCCAAATTGGGGCTTTGAGTGAGAGTGTGGTGGTTGTTGTTGGGCCATGGAGTGAGGGAGAAAGCACCGAGCGGCGGCTGGTGGTGATGGTGGCGCTGTTGCTGCTGCTGCTCCTGCTGCTGCTTCTGCTGGATGACTTGCTGGGCAATCGCCATTAGATTTCCACTGTCCGCGCACATATATGCCATTCTCCGGCCGAAAGGAACCGGAAATCACTGTACTCACATTACAAAAACAGAAACCCAGGATCAGAAAATAGCAGGAAAGTGAGTTCGAGGTGTGAAAGACTGAAACTTTATAGAGTGCGAGGTGAGAGGGAGAGAGAGGAGTGCATACACAACACTGGAGGTCCAGAAACAACGGGATCACAACTTGGTTTTTGCTGAGAGCTAGAGAGAGAGAGGGAGAGAGAGAGAGAGAGAGTGTGTGTGTGTGTGTGAGAGACAGGAGAGTAAACTACGAGCGTGAAGTGTGTAAAATGGCCTTGTTTTTCTTATTGTTTGTTTTTAAATACAACGAAGGAAAGGAGGAGAAGCTAAAATCTCAAAGAGAATATGTTACATGGATAAATTTTTAGTTTATAGTTGTAAATTATATGATCAAATAAATATATTTATGAATATTTAAGTAATAATTTATTCAACAATCACGTTATATAATTCAAATAGATAGTTTTCTTAACATTTTCTACAACTTATAAGAAACAATTTATTACACTATCCACAGACATTTATGATATTTCAGTGACATAAGACACTACGGTGAGGTAAACTTGTTAGATAAATGTATTTCCCCACTCGAAAAGTTGTTGGGGGACCATATTTTTGTCTATTTCATAAACAATTTCTAATCAATTTTCTTGTGGAAAAAAAAATTAGAATTTTAGTGTGGAAAAAAAAACTCATAATTTGGGATCTCTAATTCCGAAGTTTAAGTTCATGTAAATGAGTGTCATTTCTAAATTTTTATGAGTGATAGTTCCAAAGTCAAAAATTCGTATTCAAATTTTGTTGTTCTTTTAAGTTAACTAATCAAGAAAATTCACAAATTATAAAAAATAAAATTCCGTTATTTTGAAATTCTTAAGTAATCTAAAACCGTCTCCAACCGAGGGCTAAGCCAAAGGGCTTGTGGGCCCAACGAAATCTCAAAGGGCCAAAGGGCTGGACCCTTCCAGCCAACCCTAGGCTGGCCATAATTTTTTATTTTTTATTTTTTTGTCGGATTTCCTGTCGGTTATATTCGACAGGAATCCTTAAAGAAAATTTTGAATCCAATGGCTAGCTGACGTCAGCTAGCCATTAATTTTGAATTTTTTTTTTTACAGTTTTATTTAATGTTTTTCATTTACAAAAATTTTCCTATAACTTCTATTTTTTTTCTATAACTTCCTATAACTTTTATTTTACAAAATTTGTTTCATATATTTTTTAAATTCTATTTTTTTCCTATAACTTCTATTTTACAAAATTTGGTTCATATATTTTTTTTAAATTCTATTTTTTTCCTATATTTTTTGACGTCACTTAGCCGTTGGATTTGAATTTAAGTTGTAGTAGTTTTTAAATTTAAATAATAAATTATGTTTGGCCCTCGGTTGGAGACGATTTTTTGTAACAGGGCTAAAACGGACGCTATTGCCCTCGGTTGGAGATGGAGGCAAATATGGTCATGTGCTGTTCATTAAAATATTAATATATTGGAGGACCAGAGGGTTAAAACAAGCTATTTTGCCAGCCCTCGGTTGAAGATGACCTAAAAAGTAATTTTCAAGAGTGCCTACGGGTGTTATAGTACCAACCTATGTCGTCACTTAATTTATATCATTTAATCAAAAATTTAACCGTCAAATATATTCAAAACACAAGACTTGGAGGTGCTTAACAAAAATTGAATCAAAAGCTTCAAAGTTGTGATTTTTGTTTAAAGTTCAGACAAATAATAAGATAATTATGTTAAATTAATTAATACTACGAGACATAATTTAAAGTTAAAGGCATAAACCCAAGTTTTCTTGAAACTTCTTCTCGGCTCATGAAGAATGAATAATCGTGACAAAGCCAGGTTAAAATTTCTTTCCCTTCCAAAATAGAGAGTTGTGGGACTTATCAAATTTATAAAAGTAAAAGTGAAAATTAGAAATCTTGAAGGAAAGAAAAACCCTACTATAAACCTAGACCCTCCTTTTAGCATGGGACCCGGCTACTCAACAACAGCCTGTCACGAACGTCCACGTATTAAATTTATTATTTTGCTCCCGCCGTGTTCAGGAATGTGGGCCTTACATGCCGCCACTCAATTGCGAAACGGCGCGTCCGTGTCACCGTCTAGGAATGACGTCACGGGGGCTGATCTTTTTGGGAAAGGGGAAAGCAAATCGTGACCGCCCGTTGGACTGAATTGCACAAAAACAGAAAAGGTCTGCGAAACCTGTCAACTTCATATCCTATTGCCCGATGTGCGTATGCTGTTGGCGCATCGTACGACATGCAAGTGAAGGCAATTAGTGTCGTATGTAGTGCGCCACTGCCACCTGGTTCAAAAGTTAAAATTTGAAGCGGTGGTGTGGCTGGTGAGTTTATAGGTAAGAAATCTCCCCTCAATCCACTAAAGCTAAACAATCAATTAATCCGACCCTTAAAATTTAATTTAATAGCTAAAAATAGAAAATTTCTTTAAAAATTATAATAATTTTAACCGTTGAATTAAATTTTAAGGGTTCGGATTAATTAATTGTGTAGCTTTGGTGGGAGAGATCGGAGGGGATCTCTTCTCGTGAGTTTAGATTACAATTTTAGGAATGAATCCCATCCGGATCCATTTTGTGGGGATCTGTAGCCATTCATCGTGTATCGTACGGTCAGAAATCATTTGATTTTTTTATTTAAAATTAAATACAAATAGTATCTGATGAAAACTGATGGCATAATATACGATAAATGATTACGATGTGAGGATCCTAGGATCCCCACAAAATTGATCCGGAAAGGATCCTTTTCCATAGTTTTAATTGTTGATTAGATTAGATTAGATTAGATTAGATTTGAATCTAGATCCTCGTTGGATTTTCTTTATGAGGATCCCGAAATCAGTGAATTGTGTCCGTTCATCGTACATCGTGCGGTCATGAATTATTTTAATTTTTTATTTAAAATTAAACATAAACTGTACTTGTCAAAAATTGACCGCATAATATACGATAAATGAACATAATTCACGAATTCCTAAGATGTTCATTAAAACGATTTGGAGAGTATCCTATTATATTAGATTTATCTGTCACCATTTATTTATTACCTATTGCCTATTAAATAAATGGCGTATGAAATGCTTCAGTTCTCATTGAATAAACAAGATTTTCCTAGTAAATTCTTTCTTTAATGGGTTATTGAAAGGACTATGATTCTCTTTCGTCCTTTTTTCATTCATTTCCCTTTCCTCTTCTCACATTCTCTATTTTGTCTTTCTCTTTCTCTTTCTATATAAAATCAATATAAGATGTTAATGTGGCTTAACTGTGACCGTTCAGATAAGAGGAGAGAGAAGAGGAGGGAAAAAAAAAGGAAATAATCCTACTCCTGTTGAAAGGGGTGCAATTTGGATTAGGTCAATTCGAATCCGTTCTTGTTCAACCAATTTCAAACCTAATTGGATGGGTTATAATGAAGTAAAAAGTTCATTCAAACCCAACTCGACCTCAACCCAATTATTTATTGGATCGGGTTGATGCTTTGCTTACCTATGTCAACCCAAATTCAATCCGATTTCTAGCCTAAATTGCATGCACAGATTACCCATCCCACTTATATTTTATCTACTAGGTACAAGTTTGAGAGGTCTGTACTTGAAGTCTGTTTTTTTGTTTCATTTGAACAATGAAAGATAGTGTTTGTTTACCCTTTTTTTTTTTTTTTTTTTTAACTTTGGTGTTGTCTTTTAATTTAATTTCAAGCTTGCATGATTCAAGGTTTAGAAATGTGTTCCATGTTATTTGATTTACCTTTAATATGAGTGATGATGTGTAAAATTGAATTTTAAATAGCTTTGACGTTATTTGCTTCAAATTTCGAGATTTATCTTATAAAATAATGTGTCACAAGATTAAACTTGATAAAGTTGAACAAACCCGAACTCAACCCGAATAAGATCGAACTCATTTTGAACCCGAACCTGAATAAACCCGCATACCCAACCCAACCCAAACACGAATTGGGATTGGCTAACCTATTAGAGTTGTGCCCTAAAGCCAAATTCGTAATATTGGATATTATATAACAAAATAATTTTAATTAATTAATTAATATAGGGCAAGATTAATTCATTCATAAGTTTGGTTTTTATATTATAGATATAATATACTATGAATGAGTCCATGAGATTCAAGGTATGGAAGTAATGTCCTAAACAAGGTTATGGGGGAGAGACTTGTATTCCATAGTCATTTAGTCCATAAACAAAGTTTCTAGCCATTTGGAAAGTCAACTCGACATTGACTATCTAAAAAGGCCGGTGTATATCGCCTTAAGATTAGCATGGTGTCATGCTAAGTGTGTTTGGACATGTGATGGATATACAAGTGCTTATCTGTTAAACAAATTCACTAAACACTGACCACCCAAGAAACTAGAACGTATGAATGCTTAATCAACCTAATATTAAATTTAAGAATGAGTGACAGTCCTGAAATATATGCTTTCATGATTCACTTAGAGTTCCAAAATTTCTTGTATGCACAAGTTATGCATAAAGTGTTTCTCACAAAATTAGAATCCATGTAAGTTCAACATGTTTGGAAGAAAAAAAAAAGTTATATAACCAACGCGTACAACTTTTCTAAATAAACATTATACATGTGGCACAAATGAATCAATGTGCATGTAAGTTCAACTGATTTGATAAAAAAAAAAATTATAACCAATGCGCACAATAATTTTTTCAAATAAACGCTATTCATGTGATACATGAATCATTCTTTTCATGGAGACCCTTTCATGATGCATGCCAACTCCCTTTTTCCTATTTGAAGAAACTAAGTGTGACTTTACAAATCATCAAAAGCAAATATTACTTAAAATTTTCTAATGGGCAATTTGATCACTTGAATAGGAGTTATTTGCACAGTTGAATCTGCCTAAAGCAACTTCAGAAGATGTCAGTAGCTTAGGACATAAAGGGTGGAAATTAAATCAATACTAATTAAGGTTAATCAACTTTATTAATTAGAAAATAAGGAACTTTAATGAAAAGCTCTCGGTACTGTTTACTTAAAAAAAAATTCATATTTTTACACTAAAAAGTCAATCTTGGTACTATTCATTTTATTCTTTATTTTATCCTTATCGTTAAAACTTAAAGTTTTCGAATCATTTTTATTAATTTTCCTTAAAAAATAGGCCATAAGCAGTTTATATATAGCTTGGTCAACAATCTAATTAAGATCCAGGACTAAAATTGTACTTGAAATTATAAAATTATATGTAAGTAT